CTGGTTGTTTCTCATCTTGCACAACCTGTGGTTTTCATAATTCCGCCTGGTGTGGGGGCAGCAGCTGGCCCAGTGGCATTTCTATTAAATAAGATCAAGTACTTGGAAACAGAGTGGGAGACACCCGGAGGTGGCTTATCATCATCGAAGCATAGTGTTCAAAAGTTAAAAACACAACTTTTATGTAAAAAGAAAAAAAAAAAAAGGAAAAGAACACCCATCAACACATTTCTTTTAACTCTTTGGTGAGGGGACCCGCAGGATGGCAAAGCCAAAGGGTTTGTCGTCACTGAAATAGGATTGCAAAGTTAGATACAGGGCTGTTTAATGTCTCCGCGGCCACAGGGCTCTCATCTCTGGGAGGTTGTGTCTTCTGGTGGATAAAAATCATTTGCAGGGCGCCTGGGTGGCTCAGTCGGTTAAGCGACTGCCTTCGGCTCAGGTCATGATCCTGGAGTCCCGGGATCGAGTCCCGCATCGGGCTCTCTGCTCAGCGGGGAGTCTGCTTCTCCCTCTGACCCTCTTCCCTCTCGTGCTCTCTATCTCTCATTCTCTCTCTCTCTCAAATAAATAAATAAAATCTTCAAAAAAGAAAAAAAAATCATTTGCAGAATATCCATCTGTGTGAGATGACATCTGACTCCCTGGAGTCCAGACCCTGGTAGGAATAGTAGCTCAATCCCAGGTATATTTCCCCGAGCGGGGGCTGGCCAACCATCCAGCCCCTTGCCTGCTTCTGTTAAAAGTTTTATTGGGCACAAGCATGCCCGTGTGCGCGCGTGCACGCGCGCGCCTTCCCTACGGGTGCTTTGTGGCCCTTTGCAGAAAAAGCTCGGCAGCTGCTGTGCTGAGGAATGAGATAGATGATTCTCAGGTGGGCTCCAGCATAAAATTGGAAACTCCTGCTGTCAGCTTCCGGCCTTGTGTGCAAGTGTTGAGTATTTTTTCTTGGCATTGTCTAGGCCGGAAGGCTTATGTGTTTGGGAAGTTTTTGTTGGGTCTTTGCTAATGCTGCATTTGAACTCAAGGGCTGACCCTCAGACACAGCTCCAGCCCAGGAAATAGAGCCCTTCCTGTTCTCACATGTGCCTTCCCAGAGGGTGGGGTCTTTGTGGGTCTGCCTTAAATATTGCTTCCTGCCATTGGGCCTCCAGCCCTTGGGTCCCTGCAGACAGATCATTAATAATGATGATGATCATAATAATAGGACCCGTGGTAGCTAACTTGTATCAAACCTACATGTTGATCAAAGAATCCAGCGCTGGGGCGCCTGGGTAGCTCGGTCAGTTAAGCATCTGACTCTTGATCTCAGCTCAGGTCTTGATCTCAGGGTCGTGAGTTCGAGCCCCACATTGGGCTCCATGCTGGGCGTGGAGGCTGCTTAATAAAAAAGCAGAACAAACAAAACCCCCGCCAAAGAATCCAGTGTTTTATCCACATCATCTTGTCTAGTTGTGAGAAGTTAAGGGACTGTTTTCCCCATTTTACAGACAAGAAAACCGAGGCTGTTGCTTCTTTAAGGAAATCTTTATGGTGTGCTTGTGGGGTGGTGGGCGCCCTGTTGCCAAAGCTGAATGCAGGTCACTTTTTCCTTGGCTGGGTGGACCCTTTCTTTAGACCCAGGAATATCAGATTCAGAGCCAAAAGATCAAGAGCTTAGCTTTGGCCTTGCTGCTTCTCAGAAGGGCCTGTGGTCTTGCTTCTGTGAAATGGAGATGCGTACTTACCCCTCTCCCTCTGGAGTCTTTGTTAGAATTAAGTGAGAAGCAAATGGGCGAATGGGTGGTATGTAATCCCTAAAAAACCTACATGGACCTTCTCCCATCACCCACCTTGCTCCTATTACAGCTTCTTCCTTCTTTCTGGGTCCATGGCGTAAAAAGTCAGAATACGCACCATGCGTAGATGCTCCACATCTTGCATTTGCCTGTAGATTTTCATGGTATTTGTGGAGCACCTGCAACTGGGGGGTGGATCATGGATGCATTCTTGAGCCAGTGGCTAAAAATTGGGTACTTGGAACTGCTCCAAAGTCATTCCTTTTGCCTCTCTGTCTGATTGGAGCTGTGCCTACTAAAGGCCTGTTGGTGCAAGCCCCGTCTTAGGAGTGTGTATCCTAGGAGCTGGTGCTGTGAATGCAGCAGACACAGCTTGTCCTCCAGCCTTCCCTCTAGACAGACGGTCAACAAACACCTAGTGTAGTTTTTGAGAGCGATAAATACTAGAAGAAAAATGTAATCAGATCGTGTGTTAGGACATGGTTGAGAAGCGGGGGGCGGGGGGAGGTGGAGGGGAGTGACTTCCAGTGGGGAGGTCAGGGAAGGTCTTCCTGAAGTGCTGGGGCCTGAAGAACAAGAATGAGCCAGTCGTGGGGTCGTGGGAGGATAATGGGGGAGGGCGCTTCAGCTAGCTGGAACAGCAGATGTAAAGGTCCTTAGGTAGGAGTGTGTGTTGGGGGGGCAGGCGGGGGCGGGGGAAGCAGAAAGGAGACCCAAATGGCTGCCATCTGGGGCCGGGAGAAGGACTCCAAGAGGCCAGCAGGCTAGACCACAAGAGACTTGTAGGCCTTAGCAAGGAATTTATTTTCATTCTCAAGACCTCTGCTGTCCAGCGCAAGAGCCAATAGCTGCCTGTGGCTGGTAAAATTAAAACTGAAATACAATGAAATACAATGAAAAGTTTACTTCCTCAGGAGAAATCGGAACCCTTGTGCACTCTTGGCGAGAATGCAAAATGGCGCAGCCGCCGTGGAAAACAGTATGGTGGTTCCTCCAAAAATTAAAAATAGAATTGCCATATGATTCAACAATTCTGCTTCTGGGTGTATACGCAGAAGAATTGAAAGCTGAGTCTTGAAGAGATACTTGTGTATCCATGATCTTAACAGCATTATTCACAGTGGAAACAACCCAAATGCCAATTGATGGATGAATGAATACGTAAAACAGGGTGTATGTACACACAGTGGAATGCTATTCAGCCTTGAAAAGGAAAGAAATTCTGACACCTGCTACAACATGGATGAATCTTGAAGACTTTATGCTCCGTGAAACAAGCCAGTCACAAAAAGACAAGTAGTATATGATTCTCCTCCCTGGAGGTCCCTAGAGGAGTCCCATCCACAGAGACAGAGAGTAGATGGTGGGAGCCAGGGGACGGGCAGAGGCACGGGGAGTCTGGGAAGATGAGAAAGTTCTGGAGATGGATGGTGGGAATGGTTAGTGACAGTGTGAGTATACTTTGTGCCACTGCGCTGTGCCCTTAAAAATGGTTAAGATGGTCAATTTTATGCTGTGTGTATTTTGCCACGATAAAAAAAAAAATTTGCACTAACCACACACAAGAGCCACAGGGGAGGAGCGGCCACCGTGTTCGACAGTGCAGCTCGAGAACATTCCTGTCCTCGCAGAAAGTTACATCAGACAGTGCTGCTCCTATGTGAATGTGGCTTCAGGGACCCCTTCTGTTTCCTGGGGCTGGTTTTGGGGTCCACTGGGGCCTTAAAGTGGCTGCAACAAAGAGCCTGAGGGCTTGGGGTCAGGAACACTCCCCAGCCTCCGGACTGTGTTTCAAGCCATGCAGAGTGACTGAGCGAAGAAAGCGACTCCAAGAACAGGCCAGGCCACAGTCGAGGTCTGTCCAGCCTCAGGGAAGCCATATGTCCACGGATAGATATGCCAACAGCCTGGGCAGGGAGGTCTGGTCATTAAGGACCAGGCCAGATGCCGAGGCACTGAAATCAAGGGGGTAATTAGGAAGCGATGAGTAGTGAGACCTGGGGAGAGAGGGGGTGGGTGACAAGCTGCTGCAGGAACCCGGCGCAGAGTCCAGCCTTTGGTGGACAAGTTCCGTTGCAGGGGACCAGAAACTCCCCCGGCCATGAAATCAGAGGCAAGCCTCTGGCCTCCCCGTCGGCAGGGCCTTCTTTTTTTCTTCCTGTTCATTATCTCCTTCAGGTTGCAACAGACGTGTCCCCTTCCCCTTCCCTCCAGCCCCATGCTTCTGGCTTATGCGATTGCGCATCCTAAGCCTGGAGTTTAAGTAAGCACCTGCCTCCTCCGTCAGACCCCGTGCTCCGGAAGGAGGGGCTGCGGCCGCCTTGTTGTTCCTGCACCTTGTTCCTTGTTCCTTGGTTGCAACATCTAGATCAGGGCAATCAGATGTCGGTTGAAGTGATAAATGACCTTTGGGTAACTTGCTTCACCTTCTTGTTGTACCTTGGTTTCCCCATTTGTAACACGGAGGAAACGGCCCTATAGTAATGTATCTGTTTATACCAATATTGCAGAAGCGTGCTAGAGGCAGCTTGCTAGAACCGACGGTCAGGGTTTCAGGGAATTTGTGAACTAGCTAATTAAAGAAGCTGTTATGAAAATGTACATGAGACAGACTTACAATTAACAAATCACATTAGGGCGCCTGGGTGGCTCAGTTGGTTAAGCGACTGCCTTCGGCTCAGGTCATGATCCTGGAGTCCCTGGATCCAGTCCCGCATCGGGCTCCCTGCTCGGCGGGGAGTCTGCTTCTCCCTCTGACCCTCCCCCCTCTCATATGCTTTCTCTCTCTTTCTCAAATAAATAAATAAAATCTTTTAAAAAATCACAAATCATGTTAAAAACAAAGGTAATAAATACTCAGAGCTCCCCACTTCCTATTATCTCACTACATTTTTCAATTGCTTACGCTTTTGAGGTTATTCGCTACTATTATAGCTATATAGTGAGATGCTGTTATAAGGCTGGGCTACTGTGTGTCTCTCTCATCTGCTCCATGTTCAGCAGCATTTTGTTGGTAGCTTCAGATGGACCGAGGTGGGGGTATTTACACTGGGGCGATTTGCAAATGCTGCAAGTCAGAGCCTCTCCGCTGATATGAATTAATAGTCAAGAAGGGAGACCGTTACTGTTAGGATTTTGTGTGGCTTTTGCCCTCCCTCATCCAGGCTTGCAGTCTGTGCAGACAGCGAAGCTGCTGACCGGCTGTTTTCTCTCTCTCCCCAGTTTGTCCCACCATCTGCAAGTCACACGGCTGTACCGCCGAGGGTCTCTGCTGCCACAGCCAGTGTTTAGGCAATTGCTCCGAGCCTGACGACCCCACCAAGTGCGTGGCCTGTCGCAACTTCTACCTGGATGGCAGGTGCGTGGAGACCTGCCCGCCCCCGTACTACCACTTCCAAGACTGGCGCTGCGTGAACTTCAGCTTCTGCCAGGACCTGCACAACAGATGCAAGAACTCCCGGAGACAGGGCTGCCACCAGTATGCCATTCACAATAGCAAGTGTATCCCTGAGTGCCCCTCTGGCTACACGATGAATTCCAGCAAGTGAGTCCAGGGTGTGGCTTCCGGGGGTGGGGAGGTGGTGGTGCAGCAAAGACGGGAAGCAATGCAGGGCTGACGGTGGTGGTGGTGGTGGTGGGGGGTGGCATCTGCTAAAACTGTGTGAAAAACTAGAGTTAACTGGCAACGAGTGAGGGGGTGCTGCCGCGTGGTGATATTCCTGGGTCTCTCGGATGCCGTTGTTGCCTCCTGCTTTGGAGCTGGACTCGACAAACTTTCCATAAAGGACGAGAGAGTAAATATTTTCCCGTTGTATGCACCGTTTTTTAGTTTTTCTGTGCTTAGCTTGGTGAACAGAAGGCAGAAAGACAGGAGTCCTTGGTTTCCACTAGCATCCTTCTCAGGGACGGGACTGTCCCCAGGGATGCGGCTGCCCAAATGTTACAGCCCAGAGCAGAGCTGAGGTTTTTATGTTTTCTCCCTGCTGGAGCCAGACAGCGTGCTGAGATTAGCCAGGAGCACAAGGAGGAAGAGAATCCATTCTAGACTATTCTCAGGACTTTGCTGCATTTTGAAGGACAGGGCCATCAAACCTAATGTTCCCTAATGTTCGGGTGAGGAATACGGTTTTCTCTCTTTGGTGGTGAGTCAGATTTCCTACGCACATCGCAGACTTTTTGTTCATGTTGTTAGCTTCTCAGATGAGCTATTTCGGTGTCTCAGGGCTGTAACCAAGTTTAAAAAATCTGTTTCCTGGTTTTTGTGTTGAGGGTTTGAAAAAAAAAACAACCCCACAAAACAACAAAAAACAAATCAGAAACAGACGCACGTCAAGGGGCCTTGAGCTGATCTGCTTACGTAAAAAATCTTCCTCTTCAGACTTGAGAATTAGCCAAGCGAGCGTGTTCTGGTGGGAAATTTTATTTCCCCGGGTGGAGTGGGTGGGAAGGAAAACAATCTTTATTTCAGGTCTTATGAGCCTCTCTTTGAGTGTTTGTGAAACCTGCAAGTACAACATGTTTTGTTTTACTTGTTTTTGATAAAACCTATCAAGTGGTTTTGTTGACCAAAAATAGGCTTCTATAAATCAGCTTTGCATGCCAGACAGAGCTTTTTCTTTTTCTTTTTTTTTTTCCTGGCCAGTTTATCACTCAGGTTGGGAAAATGACCATATTCCTTTTGATTCATTTCTGTTTTTTGTTTTTTTTTCCACATTTGAAATAAAGCATGGATATTAACGTCTTCTGGCGAAATGTTTATTTAAAAGACACTGGCTTTAAATAAAAGGTATTTTTTTTTTCCTGACTGTAACTGAGACCTGAGATGGAGAGATTTCTTTGATGTGCTTGCTGATGGTGCAACAGCCCCTAGGACCCAAACCCTGGGAAATTGGCAGCATGTTCTGTGAAGTCTGGGACCTTTACTGAGGGAAGAGAGGCAAAGTGAGGGATGCCAATTATAACTTGTCAGAGCAATATTTTACTTTGTTGGTTTAAAAAAAATACTAGCTTTCCTTCTGAAGCTTTTATTTGATGAAAGACTATAGTGCTGCCATTTTCTAATGTGGTTTAATATCAAATGGGACCAGATAGGTTTTCTTCCATTCTGGTGGTTTATATGGGAATGGTTTCTGATAGTTTCAGAACAGAGGTCTGGGAACCCACATGATTCATTAAAAAGCCTCACTATCTTTGGTCACTTTGAGGTTCCTGGTGGGAGTCCTGGGGTGCTCTTTCCTGGGACGAGGAGGGCTTGATATTTGGGGTGAATGTTAAGAGTGTCGTGGGCATGGGGCGTCCCTGTCCTTCCCCCTAGAATGATCTTTGCCTGGCTGGCTTCTTGTCAGCCAGGTTCCAGCTGAAAAGTCACTTCCTCTGAGAACCCTTCCCTATTTGACCGCCCTGGCTGAATTAGCATTCAGCCACTCCTTGGCACATCACACAGTTTTCATTTTTTATTTTTAAGATTTTATTTATTTATTTGACAGAGAGATAGAGAGCACAAGTAGGCAGAGAGGCAGGCAGAGGGAAGGAGAAGCAGGCTCCCTGCTGAGCAGGGAGCCCGACGCAGGGCTGTATCCCAGGACCCTGGGATCATGACCTGAGCTCAAGGCAGCCGCTTAACCAAGTGAGCCACCCAGGCGCCCCCAGTTTTCACTTTTTTCATGGCATTTACCTCCAGTTGATATTTTAATTGTCAGTTTGTTAATTTTGCCCAACCTGACCATATGTTTCACAAGTGTATTGGTGAGCTCTTTCTGGGTAACAAACCAGCCAACACTTAGTGACTTGGAACAACACTCATTTATGATTTATAATGATTTCATGGGTTGACGGGTGGTTTGTCCAGCCTGGGCTGAGCCAGCCACGACTGCATACTATAGGGTAGCCTCTCATATCTTGGACGGGCAGCCGAGGCCTCTCTCCATGTGGTTACTTAGCCCCGTAGCCAGGAAGCACCTGCCCCCATGTGCGAGTACTTTTCAAGCCTGTGTTTGCATTACATCTGTTACCGTCCCATTGGCCAAAGCAAGTCACGTGGCCAAGCCCAGATTCTCTGAATGGGGACCTACAGGGCACTTCTTGGTGGGATGGGCTGCAAACAACTTGGGGCCTTTGTAATCTCCCACGGGGAAAGTAGATTGCCTCTTTCGTTCACTCATGTGTGCCTGCAGCTTAGAACGGGCGATGGCAAAGGGCCAGATTGTAAATATTTTCAGCTCTGCGGGCCATATGGCCTCTGTTGGCAGCTCCGCAACTCAGCCCCTATAGCACAAGAACAGCACCATAGATGATACGTGAACCAGCGGGTGCGGCCGCGCTGCAGCCTAATGTTATTTACAGAGACAGGTGGTCAGCTGGATCTGGCCCGCGGGCCGTCGTTGGCTGGCCCCTGGCTTAGAGTATCACCTGTCACATAATAGGTGCTCTGGGAGTATTTGCAGAATCAACAAAAGAACCCAAACATTTGGTCCCTATTCCATTTCCACCCCAGCTGTTCTGATATCAACCCGTGTCCGTGGGGCAGTTCTGACCCTAGCCACCTGGAGTGAGCATCGGACTCTGTCTTCCACCACGCTGCCCTCACTCCAGGTGCCAGCCACGCTTTGGGGTACCCAGGCCACCCATACTTCTCATCGGTTGGATATGCATGTAGGGGTTCTCACGTATCCATTTTAGGTTCAATAATTTGCTAGAACAGGTCACAGTACTAAAAAAAAAAAAAAAAGCCATACTGTTCCATTAGTCCCGAGCCTGTTAATAGTAGCGCCCTTGGTTAGGGACTCCGGCAGGGCTCACCCGAGAGGCACATGTCAGCTGTGGCCAGTCCAGACGTTTCCCCATCAGGGCCCCTATTTATGGCTGGGCCGGCCCTTGTGGTTCTTAGGATCGCTGGACGCACTTCAGCAAAGACTATTGGGGAACTTTGAGGAATGAGGGTGATGACTCACAGGTCCTCACAAGAGGGCACACGGCACCCTCGCGGGCCACACAGCGAGATCACTGGCAAAGAGAGAGAGAGAGAGACAGTGTGGATCTGGGGCTCTGCCTTCGTTAGGGTCCGATGGTGGGGTGTCCAGGGTTTCGTGGGTTCACTCTTTACTGGTGAATTTATTTTTTTAAAGATTTTATTTATTTATTTGAGAGAGAGCAGGAGCGGGGGGGGAGAGGCAGAGGCAGAGGCAGAAGCAGACTCCCCCCCTCTGAGCAGGGAGCCCGATGCGGGGCTCAATCCCAGGACCCTGGGACCACGACCTGAGCCAAAGGGAGATGCTTCACCAACTGAGCCCCCCAGGTGCCCCTTCACTGGTGAATTTAAAGCATAAGAAGAGGAATTGGGGTGGGGAGGGAGAAGTGGGGTCACTCGGACAGTCAACTATCTAGGCCACCTAGGGCTTTCGGAAGGAGGGAGCTTTAGGGGCGGGGCAGCCGAATTCCTTATCTCTTGGAGCTGGGTCATACAGTTGGCCATACGTTCACTGGAGGGATGTCTTTTGAAATGGATGCCTTGGCAATCAGAGCTCACCGTCAGGCACTTAAACTGCCCGTACTTACAGCTATAGCTTTATTATTAAGGACGTGTATGTTATCACGGGGTGTCCCAGCTCCGTCCCGTGGAATCAGGGACGTGGCCCTCCCAGCAGATGTTTGCATTCACTGTCCAGGAAACTTCACTGAGCCGGTGTCCAGAATTTTCCCTGGGCTCTCGTTATATAGCTGTGATCAGTTGACTCCTTGACCATGTGCTTGAACTCCATCTTCAGTGGACCCACAAATCTAATCCCATCTTTGGTCCTCTTGGGGACCAGCCCCCATCCCGAAGCTACATAGGGACCACCACACTGTCTCCTCACTAGCATAGCAAAGATGCTCCTACCTCTCGGGGAATTCCAAAGGCCTTTGAAGCTCTGTGCCAGGACCTGGGACTGCCATCACCGAGGTCATTCTGAAGAATTGGATATGCCAGGGGTGTGTAACCAGCCACAGTAGCAACAATGATACCACTAATAAAAAGTAGTCATCAGAGCAAGGACTAACGGTTCTTGTTTTCTACATGCCAAGGACTTTAGATAGTTTCTCCCTCTGGGAAATTCTGGTAAAACCCTCACTGGACTGACTTGGGTGTGTGCCCACCTCTGAACCCCTGGGGGGATGGGTGATGGTGCCCAGCCTGGCCTGGATCATGTGTCTTGCCTGGACCTAGGAGTGCTGTGCTAGCCAAGAACCCATCTCAGACCCTGTGTGGGGGAGGGATGGTTGCCAAAGGACTCCTGGAGGCTGTGTATTCGAGTACCATAGGCTATAGTCAGCAAAGCCAAAGGCTGCCGCCGTCACACACTGTCCCGTGCGAGGTTGTGTTATAGGTGTAGGCACGTCAGACCCTACGCAACAGCAAGCATTGGGTCTCCTCGGGGTGGCAGCCCAAGTTCTGGCCTGTGGGGGTGGCAGCACTGTGGTATGGGGCAGCAGAAATCCTCCGAAAGGCCCACCAGCTCGGAAAAATTCCCATCACCGTGGTAACGCCCGAGTCCCATCCCTTCATTATGATGGCGTGAGTCCTGCTTCTTCGGGGTAGAATGGGATCCTCCTTGGGGTGCAGTGTAAATACCATTACTCTGGGGAATGGCTGGAGCCTTGTCGTTTTAGGGGAAAAGCATGAGTCCCCTGCCTTTAGGGTAAAGCCATAGGACGTACTACCATGGAGGATGGCATGCACCTGCCCCTTACACGGTGGTTCTTACTGGGGGTGATTTGCCCCCTGTCCCCGCAGGGGACAATGTTTGGAGACATGTTTGGCTGTCATGCTGAGGGACAGGTGTTACTGGCATTGAGTGAGTGAGGGCCGGGGAGGCTGCTCAGCACCTTCCAGGCACAAGACACGCTCACAACAGAGAATTCTCCGGCCCCAAATGTCAGCAATGCTGTGGTGGAAATGCCCAGCCTTAGGGTAGCAGCATAAGTCCCGTCCTCGGGACCCTGAGCAGTCCTGGTGCGTGGGGTCCTGGGTGCCCTGACCCCCTCTCTCCACTCTTTCTTCAGCCTGATGTGCACTCCATGCCTGGGCCCCTGTCCCAAGGTCTGCCACATCCTGGAGGGCGAGAAAACCATTGACTCGGTGACGTCTGCCCAGGAGCTTCGAGGCTGCACTGTTGTCAACGGAAGCCTCATCATCAACATCCGAGGGGGCAGTGAGTGCTTTGGGGGTGGGGGCTGCCCCCAGCTGGGACCCACCTTCCCGGTGGCTACACACCACCGGAGGAGTCACTTGACCTAAAATTCACAGCTCAGTCCTGGCCCCGCCCACCCGGAGATGCTAATTTTCCAAGTTGGAAATTGGTGTTCTTATGCGGGAATTTGCATTTTTAACAAGTAGGCCACGTGCCCTGTGGCAGGTCTGCGGGCCGTGTTTCCAGAAATACCATCGCAGGCAAAAAGGCATCCCTTTATTTATTCAGCAAACATTTATCGAATGCTCACAGTGAACAAAGCAAAGCCCGCGCATGATGGATCTTAGAAATAAACGCATCAATGTATAACGTAAACTTGGGGTGGACCCCACTATGAAGGGAAGTAAAGCAGGGAAACGGGTGGGGGGGGGGAGCAGAGATCGGTGACTTCTTCTTATAAAGGGCCACAGAATAAATATATTCAGCTTTGCAGGCCAGACGATCTCTGCCATAACTAGTCAACTCTGCTGCTGTAAAAACAGCCATAGAGAACCTGTAAACGAATGGGTGTGGCTCTTTTCCAATTAAACGTTATTTACGAAACAGACTGGATTTGGCCACGGGGCCGTCTGTCATTTGCCAGCCTCCGAAATAGAGAATAAAGGGGTCTGCTATTTTTATTTATTTATTTATTTGAGAGAGAGAATGAGAGATAGCACGAGAGGGAAGAGGGTCAGAGGGAGAAGCAGACTCCTTGCTGAGCAGGGAGCCCGATGTGGGACTCGATCCCGGGACTCCAGGATCATGACCTGAGCCGAAGGCAGTTGCTTAACCAACTGAGCCACCCAGGCACCCTGGTCTGCTATTTTTGAAGGGGTTTCTGCTCTGAGGAAGGATGCTTTGAGCTGGAGATGAAGCAAACCAAGCAGATCTATGAGAGAAAAATATTCTGGGCAAAGGAGGAAGCCAGTGCAAAGGTCCTGAGGCAGAAGGATGCCTGGCTTATTTAAGGGATGGTGGGGAGGCCCATGTGTCTGGAGGAGGGCAAACAAGCTAAAGGATGAGGAAGAAAGCATGCTGGTCACTTATATGGGGACTTGCAGCCTCTAGGTTGACTCCTCACTATGAGAGATGATGGGAAGATTAAAATATTTCTGTAGAAGCTCACTGGATATTCTCTCCTTTCCTTAGACAACCTGGCAGCTGAGCTGGAGGCCAACCTAGGACTCATTGAAGAAATTTCCGGGTATCTGAAAATCCGGAGATCCTACGCTCTTGTGTCACTTTCTTTTTTCCGGAAGTTACGGCTGATTCGAGGAGAGACCTTGGAAATCGGGTACGTGGCCCGGTTCTGGGTGTGGCCCGAAGGCTTACTAGGAGGAGGTTCGTGAGTTAAAACAACTCACGGGTTTTTGCCAAGACACGGAAACAACTGTGTCCATGGATGGGCGAAGGGATAGAGATGTGGCTCATACATGCAATGGAATATCACTCGGCCATAAATAGAAAGGAAATCCTACCATTTGCAACAACACGTATCGACCTGAGGGTGTTATGCTGAGTGAAATAGGTCAGAGAAACACAAATGCTGTAGGATCTCACTTATATGAGGAGTTTAAAAACAAAACAACAAAAACACGCTTTGAGATACAGAGAATAATAGATTGGTGGTTGCCAGAGGTGGGAGAAACAAGTGCAGGAGGTCAAAAGGTATGGACTTCCAGTCATAAAATAAGTAAGTCCTGGAGATGTGATGTATCCATGGTGACCGTAGTTCACAATACTGAATTACACATATGAAATTTGCTAAGAGCGTAAATCTTATTTTTTTAAAGATTTTATTTATTCTTGGTGCCCCAAGAGCATAAATCTTAAAAGGTCTTGTCACAAGAAACAATTTTTTTTTTAAAGATTTTTTTATTTATTTGACAGAGAGAGACATAGCGAGAGAGGGAACACAAGCAGGGGGAGTGGGAGAGGGAGAAGCAGGTTTCCCGCGGAGCAGGGAGCCCGATGCGGGGCTCGATCCCAGGACCCTGGGATCATGACCTGAGCCGAAGGCAGACGCTCAACCGACTGAGCCACCCAGGCGCCCCGAAACAATTTTTTTTTTTTAAATCATGTGAGGTGATGGATGTGAACTGAACTTATGGTGGTGATCATTTCATGATATCTACAAATAGCAAATCATAACGTTGAAAGCCTGAAACGAATACTGTTATAAATCAGTTATATCTCAGTAAAACTGGAGGCGGCGGTGGGGGCGTAGGGGGGGAGAAAAACTTAGATTTTTTTAATTGAGGTGCGGTTGACATGTAGTATTATATTAGTTTCAGGTGTACGACATAATGATTCTATATTTGTGTATATGCAAAGTGATCACCACGGTAAATCTAGTTAACAACCATCGCCACGTACAGTTACAAAATTTTTTTCTTGTGTTGAGAACTTTCTTTTTTAAGATTGTATTTATTTATTTGAGAAAGAGATAACGAGAGAGCATGAGTGGGGTGGGGAGAGGGAGAAGCAGAGTCCCCGCTGAGCAGGGAGCCCAAAGCGGGGCTCGATCCGAGGACCCTGAGATCATGACCTGAGCTGAAGGCAGACGCTCAACCGACTGAGCCACCCAGGCGCCCAGAACTTAGGGGTTTTTAAAGCCCCCCAAAGAATCTGTTAGGGGACAGTGCCTGGAGAGAAAGGAATGTGCTGGGACGTGTCGAGAGACCTAGCCGAGGAAATTGATACAGTCACTCTTGGGAAATCGCAAGGGGTACAGCCCAAACTTTGTGCCCTCCAAGTGTGCTTTGGGCTTTGTTATGAGTTGGAGTGCTGCCTTGACCGGGACCCTGGGAGTGCTGTGCCCTGTACCTTCTCAGCTCTTGGTCCCCTTTGACAGTGACTGCACCTACTCCTTGCTGAAATTCTCATCTCTGGCCCACTGGATTCTAATTCTTGGGGTACTCTCCCTGCCTCATCTCGCTCCCAGGTCCCTTTACTCCACCTGCTTTGAGAGTTGGTGTGCTGGGCTCCCAGCCTTGGCTGTCTCTCTGACGAGCTACGTGTGCTTAGAGCTCCAGCCCTGGCTTACCCTCAAGCCTGTCTCTAGCGGGGTGACCCCCAGAAGCCTCATGTGCCACATGTACAAAATGGAACTCCTTTCCCTGCGCCCGCTGTCCATCCTCATTTCTCAGATCCCCTCCCCTCGAGGTCTGCTGACTCTGGGTCAGTAAAACAACAGAAAGCCAGACTATCTGTGTTTCCTGTAGTTGGAGATGGACTCACGAGTGACAAGTCTGAGGAGGGCTGTCCAACAATGCTGTCAAGGACCCAGATTCTGTCCATTTTTGTGCTCCTCAGGGTCACAGCTCCAGCCATGGCCCCGCCATCTTGGCGTTGGAGGTGACAAGCCAGCGAATGACTAGGTTTGTGTATGTTTCCATAGGAACTACTCTTTCTACGCCTTGGACAACCAGAACCTAAGGCAGCTCTGGGACTGGAGCAAACACAACCTCACCATCACTCAGGGGAAACTCTTCTTCCACTACAATCCCAAACTCTGCTTGTCAGAAATTCACAAGATGGAGGAAGTTTCAGGAACCAAGGGGCGCCAGGAGAGGAACGACATTGCCCTGAAGACCAATGGGGACCAGGCGTCTTGTAAGTGGGGATGCCCTGGTCCTTCCAACCCGTGGATCAGATAAGGTGGCCGCCCTCCTCCTTGAGAACTGCACTGGCCCTCGGGGGTGGGGTGGAGGTGTCATTGCCCCCCCCAATGAGCTAAAACAGCTCTATGTCTCATAGAGTTCTATTTCTGAAATATCGAGGACAGGTGTATCTTACCTTTGTGATTACAGAGATACAGTGCCTGATACTGGAAGATGCCACATCCACATTGAATGAATGAATGAATGATTTGATTCCTCCTTATAGATAGTCTTGGCTCCAATGCTCTAGCAGGTCCTGGAGCTGCTGTAGAGCTGGAGACTGCTAGCTGACTACACTCCTCTGACAGGTTCTCTCCTGAAGGGACATCTGAGCCTTGAGGTGCCAAGGCGTCCATGATAGCCTCATAGGGAGTTGGGTCCTTGCGGCCAAGTGTGGGAATTCAGGGGAGGGAGAGAGCAAGGTTGGGGTGGAGCTTAAGGGAGGGCTTGCGGTCCACTCTTTCTAAGGCATTGTCTCTCCACCACCCGCGTGCTCTCTACGCTCTCTAAACTCCCTCTGCATGTGCTCAGTTGGAACTGGAGTTATCTTACGACACGTAAGGCTCGAAAGCCCACATGTATGACAACATTGTGCCAGGACAAGGCATTACTCTTGAAAAATCACTTTTCCTAATAATTATTGGCCCGGTGTCCTTCTTGGTTTGGTGCTACTTACTGTTGAGCCTCTGGCCAAGTCACTGGCTGATGGAAGGGGCCAACTTGCATGACCAGCTTTTGCCCCTGAACCCGGGGAGAAGGCGTGTGGGAATGAGACCCATCCAGGGAATAGCAGATTGACATCTCCCTTCTCACTGGTGCTCTTGGGGATGTAGGATCACCTGTTTTGGGCTGCGCTGGAGCAAGGTTTTAATACTGATACTGTTTTTAAACTTTCCTTAGGTGAAAATGAACTCCTTAAATTTTCTTACATTCGGACATCGTATGACAAGATCTTGCTGAAATGGGAGCCGTACTGGCCCCCTGACTTCCGAGACCTCCTGGGGTTCATGCTTTTCTACAAAGAGGCGTAAGTAGAAGAAAAAGAGGTATGCGGGTTGGGCGTGTTCAGAGGTTCCCCTCTGAGACTCCTCTGTCTCTCTCTTCCTTGGGAATAGCTACCATAAGTCCTTTCTAACCATCTCACAAGCTGATGGCATGTGAGGTTAGTAACACCCCCGTTTGTCAAAACCAGAAATTGAAACAGACAGGTTTCTTTTGGCGAGTTTCCTACAGCAATATTCCATTTTGCCTTATGTCCATATATCTCAGCAAGATATCCTTAACAAAATCTGCTCAGTCCGCTTAGTGGGTTTTTAAAGATTGATTTTTGTATTGATTTTGTATTTTCTCCAACATTTAAAGAATTGTGGCAAAACATACACAACATAAAATTGGCCACTTGAACTGTGTTTCTGCACACAGCTCAGTGGCATTAAGCGCATTCACAGTGTTGTGCAACTATCACCAGCGTCCATCTCTAGAACTTTCTCAGCTTCCCAAACTAAAACTGTCCCCATTAAACAACACCTGGTCGTGTTGAGTACAGTTGACCCTGGAACAATGCCAAAGTTAGGGGCGCTGACCACCCCACCCTGGTCAAAAATCCACATATAATTTTTGACTCCCCGAAAACTTAGCTACTAATAGCCTGCTATTGACTGGAAGCCTTACGGATAACATAAGCTGTGGATTAACATGGATTTTGTATGTTACATGTATTCTAGACTGTATTCTTACAAGAAAGTCAGCTAGAAAAAAGAAAATGTTATTAAGAAAGTCATGGGGGGGCATCTGGGTGGCTCAGTCAGATAAGCGTCTGCCTTCAGCTCAGGTCATGATCTCAGGGTCCTGGGATCGAGTCCCACTCTGGGCTCCCTGCTCTGCGGGGAGTCTGATTCTCCCTCTCCCTCTGCCCCTCCCCTGCTCATGCTCTCTCTCGCGCGCTGTCTCTCTCTTTCTCTAATAAATAAGTAAAATCTTAAAATATATAAAAAAAAAGAGTCATAAGGGAGGGAGAATGCATTTACAGTCCTGTACTGTAAAAAATCCATACGTGAGTGGATCCACGCAGTTGGGGCCATGTTGTTCAGGAGTCTATACGACTGTGCTGAAAAAAAGTTTTTTAAAGATTTTATTTTTAAGTAATCTCTATACCCAATGTGGGGCTTGAACTTACAACCCTGAGATCAGGAGTTTTAAAGGGAGATGATGGAAGTTGTGATAGTATTCATATTAATAATTGCTCCATCTTTGAAGATTTATTATGCTCCAACTGTGTGCCGAGAAGTAGCACATAATCTCTCATGCAGTCTTTTTTTTTTCTTAAGATTTTATTTATTTATTTTAGAGAGAGTAGGCACGTGCACAGGGAGTGGGGGGAGGGGCAGAGGGAGAGGGAGAGAGAATCTTAAGCAGACTCCATGCTGAGTGTAGAGCCTGATGCGAGGCTCCATCTCACAACCCTGAGATCATGACCTGAGCTGAAATCAAGAGTCAGTCGGATGCTTAAAGGACTGAGCCACCTGGACCCCCCCTCCTGTAGTCTTACCAATAAGTAGTGAGGTAGTTGGTAACATCGTCGTCACTATTGATATAGTTGGAAAATTGAGCTATAAGGGAAGGGGTCCCTTCTCTTTGGGATCTCTGTCATTTTTCCTTGTGGCATAAGATTGTTGGTAAACAGGAGGCAACCCCGTAGGATGTCACCTTCCCTGCTGCAACTCTCCGTCCTCAGAGCGAGAGTCATGGAATGATAACCACCGTCTGCTTTGTCTTGAAAGCCCTTACCAGAATGTGACCGAGTTCGACGGGCAGGATGCGTGTGGTTCCAACAGCTGGACGGTGGTGGACATCGACCCACCTCTGCGGTCCAACGACCCCAAGTCGCAGAACCACCCAGGGTGGCTGATGCGGGGTCTCAAGCCCTGGACCCAGTATGCCATCTTTGTCAAGACCTTGGTCACCTTTTCTGATGAACGCCGCACGTATGGGGCCAAGAGTGATATCATCTATGTACAGACGGATGCCACTAGTAAGTGTTTCTTACGGGAAACGGACATCTTGACTTGAACAGTTGACACGGTGATGTTGTAGGAAGTGCTCTTTGATGTGGTTATTGGCTTCTAAAAGAGCCGGGTGCCCAGGTTTATAATTTCAAAAGACAAGGTAGTAGCAACAAGCTACTCTGTTCCCTCCCATTCTGGAAAATGTTCAGATATTCACAAAAGTAGAAAAATGAGCCCCACGGACCATCCATCTCCCAGCTTCATCAATAATGTTTTGCTATTTTTATTTCATCTTTGTGCCCCCTTCCCCCTTCATTTTTTTTTTTTTTTTTTTTTGTTGGTGGGGGGGGGGGGGGGGCGCTGGTCTATTTCCTAGCAATTTAGTGGTATTTGTATTTTCATAAAGCCTAAGTCCTCCTATTGTGGAGGTTCTCAACACTGGGGTGATCCTGCCCCCTTGCGGACCTTTGGTGATGCCTGGAGACCGTTTTGGTTGTCGTGACAGTGGACGTGGGGCTTATGGGCATTATACACTGCTCAGCATCTGCACGGGGCAGACCCCCCACGACAAAGAATTATCTGGCCCCAAATGTCCGTAGTACCTGAGGGTGAGAAACCCTGTCCCATGGGATACAGTCCAGACATTATGAGCCAGCCCCAGCTTTTTTGGCTGGTGCCCCCCTCTTCTTGTATCCTCCAGCAGTACCAGAGGACTCCACAGTTTCTGGAAGCTTCTAGCTTCTCGATCTTTGTACCCTCGATGCCCTCTGCCTTGAGAGCCTCAACGCCCCCCTCCCCCCCGCCGCCCATTGACTCCCTCAGCCACCTGCATTCTTGAGGGGCAGGTTTTGTGGAGCCCAAAGGTGGTGTGTGTTTTGGGGGGTGTTAGATGAGGTGCCGTTTCAGTGATACGGATGACTGGCATCCCAGTGCTGAAAGTTACCCCGTGATTGGGTTCGATTTGGGGCGAATGTTACCTGGAAAATGTGAGTTTATTTATCTCTTCCCACTATCCTCCCTTGCCTCAGCGTCTTTCCAATGCCTGGAACCGAGACAGCTTGGCACACAGTTGGAGCCTTCTATGCATAAATGCGTGTTGCATAAATGAGTGAACGAGTGGCTACGTAATCTGTGGTATGAATGGACTGTAATTTGGTACCCCGTGCGCTTGCCCGGTGAGCTTTCCACGTGTCTCCAGTTTTCTCTGCTGTTAAGTAACACTGCAGTGAACATCCCCATGATTTCTCTGACTGGTGTGTTCCTTCTTATGCCCGCCCGACAGCCAGTCCCCGCCCCCTGCTCACGATGCACTTGTTTTCCCTTTCTCCTTTGCAGACCCTTCCGTCCCCCTGGATCCAATCTCCGTTTCTAACTCCTCGTCCCAGATTATTCTGAAGTGGAAGCCTCCCTCTGATCCCAATGGCAACATCACACACTACCTGGTTTTCTGGGAGAGGCAGGTGGAAGACAGTGAGCTGTATGAGCTGGATTACTGCCTCAAAGGTGAGTGCAGGTGGGTTTGTGGGAGCAGATGATCCGCTTTGTCCTGCTTCCAGGCAAGCATCTCCCCGCCATGCTGGCTTCCCCGTGTAAGTGTGGGGGCATGTGCCCACACACGCCACCAAACCATGCAGACCCATTTCTAAACATCACCGCCTCATGACACTCTGAAGACTCGCATCAAAACCAGATAGTTCCATGTCTTGGCACCATTTCCATCTGAAATTTTCTCCCCCTCCCCCTTCCCCGCTATGGGGATGCAGCTCTGTTAACCCCCTGAATCTGGGGGCTAAGCTAGGAGTCGAGAGGTTAATAACAAAGTCAGGGAAGAGTTTTAGCCCCTACGTTTAGACCCTTAACGTTTTAAGGATTGAGGTAGCCAGGAGCGGTAATGCGTTCCCTTCTGTGCTTTCCATGAGAAATTTATACTAGAGATGATTCTCCCCCCCCCTTTCTTTAATCTTGTTTACTTAACAGGCTTCATCCATTTGCAGGAAAACAGAAAAGTCTCTGAGCCTCAAAGTAGTTTATATAAATTAGTTTAAAATTTTAAAGCTGGATTTTAAATAAACCCCATCAAACCGGAGAAACAGATGTCATTTTTTTTCCTTTAATTTCTTTTTTTTGTTGTTGTTGTTCACTTGTGCTTTTTGTTTGTCCGTATTTATTTTTCTTTAGATTGTTTTGAGTTAGCGATTTCCTCAGCCCTTGACCTTGGAGGCGAAGGCTCAGGGACTGCTGGTGAGGCATGGCGGAGGCCTTGAGCCTGCGGGCGACTCTTGGCTGAGTGTCTGACCTGCTGTAGGGCTTTGGGCAAGTCACCGAGCTTGTCACCGGCCGCCTCCTTTTCGGGAGAAGGGGCAGGAGGCCAGATGATCTCTGGGAGCTGTCCCAGCTCTAAGATCATGTGCTATATGTATGCCTGTGACCTCATTCCCCGCCTGAGCTGAGGCTTGCAAACGTGATTTATCTCCCCAGATGCTTTATATAACTCAAGAGCAAGCACAGGCCTCAGCTTAGCTGTGAGCTGTTGGCCCTGCATTCAAGTAACCGAAACCACCAGCTTGAACCACCACCAGCAACAGCCCTTGGTGCTTCCCCTTTTTTTTTTTTTTTTTAAAGAGTAACAACTTCAATTCTGAAAGTCTAAATCTATCATTACAATGTGGCTATTTACACATGGCTTACTTTGTAATGATCACAAAGTTTATGGAATTGGTAAATAAACTTACTAAGGACAGATATGGTATGAATCCACCCATAGGAAGTCCCCAGAGGAGTCCCGTCCACAGAAGCGGAAGGTAGATGGTGGGAGCCAGGGGTTGGGGAGGGAGAGGGGAGTCAGTGTTTCATGGGGACACAGTCAGGGTTTGGAAAGATGAGAAAGTTCTGGAGATGGATGGTGGGGATGGTGCACAAGAGTGTGAATGTACCTAATGCCACTGAGCTGTGCACTTAGAAATGATTAAGATGACAAATTTTATGTTACCTGTATTTTACCACAGTTTGAAAAACATACATAAAATAAATAAGCTTACTCACTATGACTGGTAGTGGTTTCCCATTAGTATCACCAGTAGGGCTTTTTCCCCCCAGGCTTTATTGAGATATGGTTGAATTATAAGGTATTGAAAGGTAAAACTGTAAGATATTGAAAGTGCCCATCGGGATGATTTTGATATACCTATATGCCGGAAAGGATTTCTCCTAGGTGGTGAGTGAGTTCGTACATGCATCACTTGTATTGTGTGTGGGGGAACATTTGAGTTCGACTCCCGTAGCATGTTTCAGTTCTAGAATATGGCGTTATCGACTGCATTTTTAAAAATTGTGGTGGAATATATATAACACAAAATTGACGATCTGAACCATTTTTAAGCACACAGCTCGGCGGCACGAAGCGCGCTCACACTGTCCTGCAGCCATCCCCGCCCTCTGTCTCCAGAACTTGCCATGTCCTCAAACTGAGACTCTGTCCCCATGAAGATGGGCTCCCCACCCCCCACCCCACCCCCGGCTCCCACCGTCTCCTCTCTGTCTCTGTGGATGGGACTGTCCTAGGTGCCACATTACCGGTCCTTCCCCTGTGTAGTCACAGAAAAACCGTGGGACACTACGTGCCCTGCGGTGGGGGCCGGAGAAGGTAACGGGAGCGAGGAACTGTGTGTGGCCTGATCAGAAGGTCCTTTCCTCTCCAGAAATTTCTTAGGATCCTCTCGCACGAAGGAAACCCGACCGTTTTCCTCCATCCCTTATGCCATGACCAGTCCCTGTAATGGTTAACCCAGCCGGGTTAGTCTGTGTCTATTAATAAATGTTAGAAGTGTTCTTAAGAGTCCCTTGTAGCAATATCAGCTGGATAAATACTTAGGCTTCTGAGTGGATACTCGCCATTCACGGGACGGTACTTAGAGCCCATTGTCTCCAGGACCCATTCAAGGGGAGAGGAAAAAAAATGCCCAGTAGCCCCCGGGAGGCTCCAGGCACAAGGGCTGGTGGCGGGAAAGGTGAATCCCAGGGCCCTTCGTGGATGTCGCCTGGTGAGAGCAGCATTCATCCTCACAGTCGCACCCGAAGCATGTCCGTGGCCCGCACGATGGATGGCCGGTGTCCCTGGGATTGGACTCGGGGGTCGCGACACGGCCAGCTTCGGCACTTAAAAAACAACTTCGTGTTTTTGAAAAATGTCTTCCCCCATCTCGCCTCGCGTCGCTAGTCCAGAGTGTCTCCACCTCAGCACTGTTGGCCTTTGGGGGCTGGACCATTCTCTGGGGCCGGGGCTGTCCCGTGCCTTGTCGGACAGTGAGCAGCACCCCCGGCCTCAGCCCCCAGGTGCCAGAATCTCCTCCATCCCGCAGGATTCCTCACAGCCAGAATATCTCCAGACCTTGCCCAGTGTCCGGGGCTGGGGTGGGGTGGGGGTGGGGGTGGGGGATGGTGCCGAATCACCCCTCCCCCGCCCCTGACCCCGGGGAAGAACCACTGCTCTACTGATTTCTGGATTCCTGAGTGAACTGTAGATTCTTTCATTTGTAACCACTGGGTCTGTAGGTCGGACCCTTTATGTGGCCTCCCGTTACTTTATATGGTTGGCTGGCTGATTGATTGATTCATGGCACTGTCACCTGCCCCCTCAGCCTTTCTCTAACCCCACCTCCCACCTCCTGTCCCTCATTCTGTCCTGCTCATTACTTTGGGTTCTTGGTGTCTTTCGGCATGCCAGGGAAAGTCCTACCTCAGGGACTTTGCACTTGCTTTTTGCTCCGTCTGAACTGCTTTACACCAAGACGTGTGCGTAGCTCATTCCTTTCCTTCATTTGGGACTGCTCGGCAGTCACTTCCTCCGAGACCACCTCGTGAAAAGCATCAGCTTGAGACATCCTCTGTACGTTCACCCTGCGAGCTGACCCATGGTATATGTGTTTATGTTTCTTACGTGGCGCCCCCCAATTCCCAGCCACTAGATTGTAGGTTCCATGGGGCCAAGACATACTTGGTTACCTTAGTCTCCAGTCCGATGGGGTTATGGTGTCTTCTAGTTTCTGGAACACCCTGACATGCACAGGTGTCCCCAGCCCCTCTGAGAAGACCCCCTTGGCGGTGTGCATGTTGCGGGCTCAGGGGGAGGATCCGAGGCCACCTGCTCTGCCTGTCTCTAGGGTTGAAACTGCCGTCCCGGACCTGGTCTCCGCCGTTCGAGGCCGAGGGCTCCCAGAAGCACAACCAGAGTGAATACGAGGAGTCTGCCGGCGAATGTTGCTCCTGCCCCAAGACGGACTCTCAGATCCTCAAGGAGCTGGAGGAGTCCTCTTTTAGGAAGACCTTTGAGGATTACCTGCACAATGTGGTGTTCGTCCCCAGGTCAGGACTGTTCATTGGCTCTGTGTGGAGGGGGGGTCGTTAGGGGAACAAGATGAAGCGGGGACCCAGGGGGTGGGTGGGTAAAGGAGGAGATTCAATAGGAACCTCACCAGGAAGAGCAAATAAGCACTCCAAACAGGGACAAGTTAAAAAAAAAACAAAAAAAAAAAAACCCAAAAAACCCCACAAACCCTCAACATTTGCTTTCCCACGTGGCCCAAACTCTTTGTCCCAGCCTGGGGTCTCCGCCTGCGTTCTTAAACGAGCTCCATTAGGTTTTGCGGCACACCCTGAGGAATGCCTACTGGGCCCCATGTTTGATTTATCTTGAAGTCTCAAGCTCAGAGCATTCTCTTGTGTTCATCTCGCCAACCTTCTTGTCCTTCTGGAAATTTCTATGGCATCTTCAAAACCCGGAGGCTTCTCCTGTTTAAATCTGTTGAGTTTCCTTGAGGGAGGGAAGGGATGTGCTGATGTACATCGGCTCTGAGAGGGTTTGCAGTGAAGACGACCCCAGGCCACTCCTCTGTCATTGCCTCTCCCAGAGGCAGAGACGCTCAGGTAAACGGCAGGTGTCTCTCGATGCCTCAGTTTACTTATCTGCCACGTGCAGATAATAATAGTTCTTGTTTCTTAGGACTGTGAGAGCACGTGAGTCACCCAGGCTTCATAGCCTTGACCCTGTGGACGTTTGGAGCCAGCTCGTCCTCTGCTGTGGGGCTGTCCTGTGTAGGATGATGAGCCGCATCCCTGCCTCCACCCACCTGACACCAGCAGTGCTGTCTGCATCATATTAGTTCATGAGTCTTTAGAGTAGCCCACTGACGTAGCTGTCACCTCCCTTTCATGGGGCCAGAGCCGGTGTTTCTGAGCTGGCGAGGGATCCGACCCCGGATCTGGCTGCTGGTGTGGGGTGTGGGCTGTGAGATGCCTCTTATCCCGCCCCCTTACCGCCCTCAGCAGACGGGCCCCCCAGCAATGTCTGATGCAATGCGCTGTCTCCAGAGTGGATCGAAACCCCAAAAGGGTGACACTGGGATAAAATAAGATTTTAAAATGGGTCCCTTCAAATGCCAATCATCACTTCTCATAAGAATAGACGTTTTCCCAGAACCATCGATGTGTGACATTTAAAAAAATTTTTTTTCTTTCTTGCTTTTTTTCCCCCCCCGACCCTGAGTCCAAAAGAGCGCTAAATGTCAGAGCCCAGGCGTGGAGGGTGGGGGCAGTTACTGTTTTACCAGTTAAAAACAAAATGCTGCTGGACTTAAGGAAATGGCTGAGTCAGTTGTGATGTTTAAATGTAGTCAAGTTTGGCATCTGAGGGGGTACCCCAGCTGGCCAGGTCTCGGGGGAGGGGAGGGTATTTTCTCTGATTCTCCCCCGCCCGCCCTCCCCCCATGCTGTGTTCTCTGCATCTGATGGAGATGATGTGATTTGGGGGGTGGGAGATGTGGTCCACAGTCAAGGGCAGGGCACCCTTGGGCTGCTCGGAGGGAATGTGGCTGAATGAGTTCTGTCTGTCCTCAGAGTGGTTGGTTTTGTTTTCACAGAAAATCCTCTTCAAGCCCTGGTGCTGAGAACACTAGGTACGGCTCACCTGCAGGAGGTCTGCGTGACCACTGGGGGCTGCTCAGCGCAGGGCTGGCGGGCCAGGCAGGGCAGGAAGCATGCTGTGTGCCTTTGAGACTCCAGAGGCTTCCGTGGCCTTAATGCATGTGATGGGCTGCTCTGCAGATATTGGAGGCTTCACGAATTCATACGGGAACTGCCTTCACCCTCAAATGGGATCTGGGCACAAATCTGCACTAACACACTCTTACTAAAATGTAGAATCAGGGGTGCCTGGCTGGCTCAGTCGGTGGAGCATGTGACTCTTGATCTCTGGGTCAGGAGTTCGAACCCCACATTGGGGGCAGAGTTTACTTAAGAAAAAATAAAACAGAATAGAAGGGGGTACTTTCTGGGCACCTCTTAGATGCCACACATTTCCCCCCATGTGTTCACCCGCTGAACATTTATTTAAACATTTGTTTATTGGCACCTACGGTGTGGGCCCGACTACGCCTGGACCCCAGAATCTGAGGCATGTGCAGCAGGTCGTGGGGGGAGCCTGATCTGCAAACAGAATGTTTTTATTTGGGGTGGCAAGTGTGGGGCTGCAGGCGTGTGAGCCAAGGCGTGCCGTGTCGCTGAACTCCACTGAGGACAGGTGGGCTTTCCTTTGATTTGTGTCTTGAAGCTCCAAGGGGGCTTGTCCTGAAGGAGAGGACAGGCCGAGAGAGGCTGGGGAAAGGAAGGCCTTGGGATGAATCAGGGGCCCCTGGGAGGAGCCAGAGGGGAGACTGGAAAGGCAGGTCAGGGCCACGTGGAGGGATGCTACTCAGAGGATTTGCTTCTTGATTTTTTCAGGCCTATTTGTGTGGCCCTGATCTGACCTCTAGTGGCCATTTGGAATACAACCTGCAGAAAAGAAAGGCCTAGACATTTGAGGCTTGGGTCCATCCGCATCGGGGTTTCTCAAATCCCAGACGTTTGACATTTAGGGCCAGATCATTCTCAGTTGTGGGGCCTGCCCTGTGCACGGTAGGATGTTGAGTGGCATCTCTGGTCTCTGGTCTCACAATGCCAATAGCTTACGTGTTCCCCCAAGTAGTGACAACCAAAAATGTCCCCAGACACGTCAGATGTTCCCCCATGGTGGAGGGAGGGGCAGACTCGCCCCTGGTTGAGGACCACTGGTTTGGTATGAGATTGTGGGGTGTGTAGGCAGCGGAGAATGTGGGAACCCCAAACGACAGGTAGCGGGGGAGGGGGGCGACCGCATATACATTTGGCTTGTTTGATGAGACCTTTTCATGTTTGGACACCCATTTCTCAGTAGTTTTTCCTGAGGGACCCGTGTTGTGGTCATTTGGGAAAAGGCCCATTTATGCCTGGATGGAAATGTTCTGAATCTTGCTAACATGTCTTTGGTTTCCGTCCAAGAACGTCACTGGTATTGCAGATGGAAAGACCAGACAAAAAATCTTAATGCATGTCCCCCGCCCATGTAAGGTTTTTGTTCTGACTACAGTGCAGTAGAAACTAAAAATTGACTTCAAACATTTGAACAGAAAAGTGCTCCCTGGTGATTTAAAGTTGATTGCTTTGATACCTTTTGGGAGAAGCAGATTTTCATTAAAGTCCATTTGGAAAATAGTGGGAATGAGAATATCATGTACCTTAAATGTGTAGAATATCGCCAAAGCTGGGCTTTGATGCAAATTAGTAGCCTTACATGATTTTGCAAGTTAAGAAAGCAACCTAAAAAGGTAAAAATAGAAATGTATTGTGAGGGAGGGGAAATCGTTGAACTTGCAAATATAAGGATGAAAACCACAAATAACTAGAAGTAAAGCAGGTGATCTGAAACTAGGGTCGAAGGAAGATTTTAATGTTGCATTCGCTGGACAGTCTTGTGTTAATTCACTTTGAAGCTTTCAAAGTGGAGGAGGAAGGTTTTAATTTGATCTGATTCAAGATGAAGCAGAGAAAATTAAATATTCTAATAACTTTGGTGAATGAGTAAAAGTTACGTCCCCAAAAGGCCCTGGGCCCAGAGAATTTTATAGATGAGTTATTTCAAACTCTGTGATATAGAAACTTTTCTGAGCATAGAAATCTATGGAAATCTTTCCAGGTCATTTTATGAAATTAACATAACGCCCCTTAGCAGAACTTGATGTAGATGCTCTGTTGACAGAAACCCCAAGACCCGCTACAGTGAGACTTTAGATCCAAACGTCCTCAATGAAACAGTGTGCTGACAATATTGTTTCACGCAGAAGTACAAGGATGGTTTACGATCAGGAGATAACGATAATGCGTCAGGGGCCCAGTAAGGAAAATCATATGATAATCTCATGAGACAGTATTAATTAAAATTCCTAATTTAGGGAAACGAGCCAAAAAGAGGCCTTTTAGAAAAGCGGGAGCAGACTACTTCTGCTACAAGGTAAATAAATATTACCTCGATGAAACCAACAGCCAAGCTAACATTGTATTTAAACTGTCCCTGTTACATTGAGAAGGAAGCCCAGTGTCGTCGTTACTAAGTAACATTTTCCTGGGTATCTAGCCAATGCAATAAGACACAAAACAGAAATTAGGATAGCAAAGAATGGATTGTGGGAAATAATGTCATTGATATTCGCAGATAGCCCAGGGCAAGGGTAGACGTGCTGGGGTATTAACAGGCTGGACAGCCTGGCTGCCCATTTTTTTTTGTCAGTGAAGTTTTATCAGAATGCAGCCACTCCCATTTGTTTATATTTTGTGAACCCCCGCTCTCAAGCTACAATAGTCGTAAAGCCATTGAAAGTTGAGTAGAGATAGAAAGTACTTGGTGACACAGGCCCCACAAAATCCAAAATATTTACTTCCTACCATCGACAGGAAAAGTGTGCTGACTCTTTTTCTAGTGTGTTCCTTGGAAACCCAAGGATATCAACTATGAAGCTCTTAGAAGAGAGTTTGGGAAAGAAGGTACAATACAAATAAACAAAAAGCCCAGTGATATACTAGCAATAGCAATAGTTAGAATAGAAAACAGAGGAGACGATCCCTTTCATAATTGCCATACCACCTTGGTAACCCCATGGAGAATTAACTGTACAGGAAAAAATACAAACATCTGCTGAGCTCCAAGATTGTCCAGATACATGTGAAAGACTGTTTTGAATCATTTATAGAAAACTCACTGACGGTAGTGTTGATAACAGTGTTAATATCCTTAGTGAATAAACAGGGCAGCAGTAGGAACAGTGGGGAAAGCGCTAGAACATCATAAAAACAGAGGAGAAAAATGGACACTTCCCTAGAGAAACACAACGGACCAAGGAAGGAAAGACAAGCGCACACGGAATGGTATTAAGAGATGCAAACAAAGCAACAATGCCTTGTTTTTCAGTTAATCTTTTGGGTTGAAAATCTGCAAACAAACAAACAAAACCCGAAGAACCCTTTAACCCTGAGTACTGATGAGATTATCCTGAGGTGCAGTTTCAGGGGCTCCTGGTGAGAGCCCCCGGTCAGTAGAAAGTTCCCGCAGAGCAATTTCGCGGTATGGATGAACAGGCGTAGCCTAGCACTTTCCCTTCTAAGAGTCTAGTTTTAGGATCTAATAAGACAATACGACAATGATCAAAGCAATATTTATAAGAGCAAAAATCCCTGGGGATACTCTTATGCAGACATCCTCAGAGGTCCTGTGGGCTCCGTTCCAGACCCACTGTTGTAAGACAAATATCGCAATAAAGCAGGTCGCCTGAAGTTTTTGGTTTCCCAGTGTGTATGAATGTTCTACTGGAACCAGACTGTAGTCTACTAGGTGTGCCATAGCGTTACGTCGAACAAACCAGTATACACACCTTAATTAAAAAATATTGCTACAAAATGCAGACCATCATCGGGGCTTTCAGTGAGTCATACTCACCGATCACAGATTGCTGTAACAAATATGATAATAATAAGAAAGTTTGAAATAGTGTGAGAATCCCCAAAAAGGTGACCCAGAGACACACAGTGAGGAAATGCTGCTGGAAAATGGTGCTGGTAGATTTGGCTGATGTGGGGCGGCCACAAACCTTCTGTTTGTAAAAATGCAGGATCCGCAAAGCACAATAGAGCCAAGTGCAATAAAATGAGGTATGTCTGTATTAAATAAAATAAGAGTTTGGTTAGTAATTTATGGCTCATGCATTAAAATGAATATTTTCCAGTTTTCCAAGTTTTCTACAGTGAGCATGTTTCCTTTTGTAACAGGGAGGGAAAACCTTCACATTGAAAAAGACAAAACATAAAATCTGTGCTAAGTACTTAAGGCATTACGTTTTAAGGAAGCTCTTTGACGAATATTTCCAACAGAACAAGCGAACAAAGGATTACAAAGCTAGCTTGGTCCTCATACCTACACATAATATTTCTAGGGGAAAAAATTGCCTCCAGGAGACAGAAGGCAGTGGAATGATGAGTCAATTAAATTTTCTCTCTGCTTTTTGTGTTTGCGTGTTTATAAGTTTTTAGGCTATTGCATTTATTTCTTAATTTCTTCTTAATTGGGGGGAAATGTGTGTCGACTGCATTTTTTTTTTTTTTTTGGAGTTACCCTTACCAACCTGAGTGGTAAGATTTTTTTTTTTTTTTATCCAAGAACTGAAATTTAGTCACTACTATGATGCAGATGCCCTATATGGTCATAAGAATTAGAAGATGCATTTTACCTGTTTAGACAGATGATGCTGGCCAGTTGTTCGGGAGGCTGGGCTCATGAAAAGCTAGACTCTGACATGCTTTAGGAATTTTGTCTTTAACACTGACCCGGGGTGGCCGATTAATCTGCAACATGACAACCTGAAATCAAGCACGTTGAGGGGAATATTGGTGTGTGTCCCCTGCGCATGGTCCTGGAGCCCCCTCCCCTCGAGGGCGTCCTGGGAGCTGCTCTGGGTCGTAATTCCGGGCAACCTGCATTTAATCTGTGTGCTTCCTTGCATCCCCACCACACCAGTCTTTGATTCTGAGCCTTTCAATCTCCAGCATCGTTTTTGTCTTAAAGACGGCAACCGCATGACCGTGTGTGTCCTGCTGTCGTGACAGGCCATCGCGGAAACGCCGGGCCCTCGGGGACGTTGCCAATGTGACGGCAGCCGCGCCCACGGTTCCAGGTTTCCCCAACACCTCGACCAGCGCGCCCACGAGCCCGGAGGAGCACAAGCCCTTCGAGAAAGTGGTGAACAAAGAATCCCTGGTCATCTCTGGGCTGCGCCACTTCACTGGCTACCGCATCGAGCTGCAGGCTTGCAACCAAGACTCCCCCGAAGAGAGGTGCAGCGTGGCGGCCTACGTCAGCGCCAGGACCATGCCCGAAGGTGGGTGGTCCCGTCCCGGCGCCAGGAGACCCGGGGCTGACCAAGGGCCCACCCTCCGCCCGTTAGGCAGCGTAGATGTGTACTTGAACTTATCTGCCTTTGTCATTTCTTATTTTTATTTGCGGCTGGCTTCACTGAGATCCCAGCTGACATAACATTGTGTACGTGTAAGGTGTACGGTGTGTCAATTTGATACGCGTACGTATTGCAATATGATTACCACCGTGGCATTAGCTGCCACCTCCGTCACAACACGTGGTTACCACTTGTTTTTCTGTAGCAAGAATGCTTAAGATCCACTCTCTGCGTTCCCCCTTTTTAGATTCCACGTATAAGTGAGATCATACACTATTTGTCTTTCTCTGTCTGACTGATTTCACTGAGCAGAATGCCCTTAGGGACCATCCATATATGCCAATATTATTGTTTGATTACGCGAGTCATACATGGCCAATATATGAACTTTAGCAAAGACACATAAGCCATGAGAAATATAAAGTAAAATTAAGAAGTATGTATATGTATGGTATTAATCAGGGTTCTCCAGAGAAACAGAACCAATGGGATATGAGATAAATGGACAGATGGATAGATAGTTATGTAGACAGTCCTATGAAGAAGTGACTTTTACGTGTCCATTTTCCTTGTGGGAAAGTTACTCAAGCAGCTTGAGGTTGGTTGCTCAGCTGGTAGGTGGTGGAGGTGGTATTTGATCCAGGGGTCAGGTCCCGGCCTCTAAGCACTGCTCCTTACAGCCAAGGCAGATGACATTGTTGGCCCCGTGACCCACGAAATCTTCGAGAACAATGTCGTTCACTTGATGTGGCAGGAGCCAAAGGAACCCAACGGTCTGATCGTGCTGTATGAAGTGAGTTACCGACGCTATGGTGATGAGGTAAGACCCCCTGATGCTTGGGCACGTACCTCAGAGCTGTCGCTGGTACCCCCTTCCTCTTCTTAAATTCTGGCCCAAATACTTCTCCTATTAGATACGTTGTCATTAGGACTCCACGCCTTGATTTATAACTTTCCAGGGAGATGGGTGAGAAATGCCAGTCTGCACACTTATTTATTTCCTCAGTTTCTCCCATTGCTTCTCACATTTCAGCTCCGTCCGACAAGATGAATGATGGCTGCCTGCATTTGTGTCCCTCCTGACATGACAGGAGACCCATTTCACTTTAGACAGAGTTCTCTGAGTCTGGGGAGAAATCACTTAAGATCTTAATAAGGAACTTTGCATTTACTACCAGACACCGTGTGGGGTGGTGGGTGAACACAGAGATGCCCAAGATACAGCATCTAAGAAGAACAAAAAAGGAGCCAAGCTGTCCTGAGGGGTCACTGTGTCTCGCACATATGAAGCACTGTGCACACACGGTCATATCTCATTTATTGTATTTTACCACGTCTTAGGCATGACAAGCGGCCCCATGATTTTTATGGACTGCTAAAAAAAAAAAAAAAGATGCTGCCAATTTTGAGTTGGTGTTGCTTCTAAGCTCCCTTGCAATTTCAGAAATGCCAAAATGTGAAAATAACGTGCTCTCAGGACCGATGAAATGCAATAAATCCTCAGAATAACCCAGTGAGCTTGGTCTGGAGGCAGCCAGAATTTTTTTGTCCAGGATCCATAAGAATAAAGTCAGGATTCAAACCCAAGACTATCTGATGTTCTGATCAGAGGGTTGGCAGCTGTTTTTTTCTGTCAAGGGCCAGATACTGAACATATTTGACTTCCCAACTGGATGGCCTCTGTTGCAAATACTTAACTCTGCTGTTGTAGCTCGAAACCACCCTGTATAATGGGTATGGTTGTGTGCCAATGAAACTTTTTTTTTTTTTTTTTTACAAAAACAGGCAGCAGGCTGGCGTTGGCCAGCCCCCGCTCTAAGCCACGCCCGTAACTTCCCTGGGGTGGATCTCCATCCCCAGAAGGGCTGGGGTCTGCTCCTGCCAGGAGAGGCGCCGGCCAGGGCTTGAATCCGCCTGCGCACAATTCTCCCCTTGACTGTGGGACTTCAAGCAGATGAGTCGCATCACCTCCTTGGGTTTGACTGAGCCCTTTCCCTGTCCCAGACACAACCCTGAGTCCTTTGCAACCATCCGTTTGAACCTCGCGGTGACCCGACAAGGTGGGATCTGTTAGTGTCTCCTTTTTTGGCCAGGAGTATGGAGGAGCTGAGTGGACTTGCTCAGGGTCACACACCCAGCATCTTAAATCCAGACCTTTGTGCTCCTGAATCTACCATCTGCAGTTGAGGGCGGCCACTTAAGTCAGAGATTGTTTTCTGTAAATGGCCAGAGAGTTTAAGTTTTTAGTTTTGGGAGCCGTAACGTCAGGCTTGGGCATGAGGGCTTTTGTTTGTTTGTTTGTTTTATAGTAACAGCTTTACTGTGACACATTCACATACCATAAAATACACCCATTTCAAATACACAGTTCGGGTGCCTGGCTGGCTCATTCGGTGGAGCGTGCGACTCTTGGTCTCAGGGTTGTGAGTTCGAGCCCCACGTTGCATGTAGAGATTACTTAAAAATAAAATCTTTACAATACAATACAATAAAATATACAATTCAATGGTGGTTTTTAAAAAATTTTTTTTTACAGTTTTTAAGTATTCTCTACACGCAACGTGGGGCTCGAACTCACAACCCTGAGACCAAGAGTCGCACGCTCCACCGACTGAGCCAGCCAGGCGCCCCTATAATTCATTGTTTTTTTTTGGTAATTCACAGAGTTGTGTGACCATCACCACATCAATTTCAGAGTATTTTCATCACCCTAAAAAGTTCCCCCGTCCCCCAGTCTCCCCTGCCTCATCTCCCTCCAGCCTCTGTCAACCACTAACCTACTTTCTGTCTCTATGAATTTGCCTGTTCTTGACACTACCTATGAATGAATCGTACAGTACATGGCCCTTCTGTTGCTGGCTTCTGTCATTATCGTAACGTCTCCAAGGTCCGTCCACGTGGCGGCGCATGTCCAAGCTTCCTTCCTTTTCATGGCTGAGAAATCCTCCAGCATGTGGATGGATCACATTTTGTTACCACTCACCCATAGATGGACATTTGGGTCATTTTCGCCTTCTGGCCATTGTGAGCAATGCTGCTTAGAGCATTTGTGTGCAAGTGTTTGTGTGGACGCATGGTTTCAGTTCTCCTGGGTGCATATCAAGGGATGGAGCTCCTGGGTCCTGTGCCAACTCTTTTAAGGAAATGCCCACTCTTTCCCCAAGGGGCTGCACCATTTTATATCCCCCCGGGTAGCATCTGAGGGTTCCAGTTTCTCCACATGGTTGCCGATACGTGTTCTAGGCTGTCTCTCTGATTAGAACCGTACTGGTGGGTGTGAGTGGTATCACACTGTGGTCTGGATGTGTATTTTCCTGATGGCTCATTTGGGCTCGAGTTTTGTGCCTTTCCCTGAACCCATGGGACTCTTCAGCTTCAGGCAGCTTCCGGCAATTTAGCATCAGCCCTGGAACTGGGGTGGGGTTGAGGATGGGAGGCAAGGAGGAGGGGCAGCTTCCAAAGGAAGTTTGGGATGTTGTGGGCAGCAAGGAAGAGAATATGGATTCTGGGCAGTGAGCATCACGTTTCCGCTACAGACCCTCCTTGGTTTTATTCCTGCTGCTGTGACCAACTCTTTCCCATTTGCCTGGAATTTGCCCGTGTTGAGCATTGCAGTCCTACATCCTAGGAATCCCTTGGTTCTGGGTAAACTGGGACAGTTGGTTACCCTATTGGCCTTGGACCTAACCCTAAATTCTCCCAGCTGTCTTTGGCTGGACTGTCTCCCCATTCCTGGAGCCCAAGGGTCACCAGTAGGAATCCCCACTAGAGCCTCTGCCCCATATGGCCCAGCCCCAATCCCAGATAGACTGGCCCTATTTGCCCTTTAGGGGAACAGAGATTTAGGGGGGGAGGGAATGGGAGAGAGTGAGAGATTATAATCACCTTTTAAAAAAACCTTTTCATAGACAAGATGGCGGATCATCTCCATTTTCCTTTATTGCCTAGCATTGCTTTGATAAAGTAAGAAAATAATGTTAACAAAATTTTTTTTATACACCATTAGTACTGTTGGGGTATGATTTTGCCAGTTCTACAAAATTCTCTCCAGCATTTGGTGGGAGGTCTTCTTCTCTTTCTTCTTCTTCTTCTTTTTTTTTTTTTTTTTGGTATTTGCTAGACTGATAGCAGAAATCACCTCTAGCTGCATCACTTTCGAATCTCTCTCTCCTTGAACCTCGCATTCAAGTCATTTGCCCTCCTACTTCGTCCCCTCTCTGCCCAGGAGACCCTGGCCCCAGGGACCGCCCCCCTCCCTGAAAGGAATATCGCTTTTTAATTTTGGTGCTCTCCTATCCTTTGCTTCAGTGTCTTTCATGGTTTTGAACTTCTCTGTTGTTGGCACAAACTTTCATATAATTGGCTTCTTTACTCTTAGTCAGGTTTCGCTTCTCGTTTCGCTTTTTGTTTTTGATTCTCGGTGTCTGTGGAGACAGCTGCCTCAGGGTCTAGTTCCTCCTGTTCATGCTCCCTTCCCTCTCCTTCGCCTCTTGAGGTGTGTGGGGTCCATGGCTGGCCTTGGAGGGTACATTTCCCCTTTGTCCCCGATAGCAACTACCTTCGGTTTCTATATTTGCTTATTTGTCCCTTTCTACTTGGTGACTCATCCGACTTGGACGAACCTTTGGACCAGAGCCCCCACCCCCTGCCACCAGCCCGATCCAGCCTGATCTGTTTTCTTGCTGTTATTGTCACATGATGAGCACGGGAGTTTTTACGTTTCTTTCTCTGCCCACTAAAATTTTCCAGTCCAGCCCTCTGCATGCACTATTAACTTGGAGCTGTTTTGGAAAGTTTTTTAAAATTTGGCCCGACGCGTGCAGGGTTCATGGTCCCACTTCGCAGTGAGTCTCTCGCCTCTCCTACTAAGCTCTGGGTTGATCTCTGTTTACACGGTGATCACTGGGGTGTGTGTGCTTTACTTATCTCCTCTCTGTTTTCAGAGATTGAAGTAGGTCCCAGCTCTTTCTCAGAATGGTCAAGTAAATCGAATCAAAGCAAAAGGCTGCACCAGGGGAAGGAAGGAGCTTTAAAATTTGTCCTTAAGACATTAAGTCCATGCATATGTAAGCCCATGCATGTGTTTGGTTCTGGGGCCAGGAGGTGTGTGTGGGGGCAAAGTCTGAAATTTGATTTAGGTCATGTGGGGCTCTTCTTTCCCGTCCTTCTGGGACTTTCTAGAGGCCTGGTGACAAGGCCTCACAGTGGTTCCAAAAAGGTTGGGAGCCAGATGGTTCTGGATTCAAGGGTGGTTGGCCCAGCCACTTACCAGCTAGGAGCCCTCCGACCAACCATCTCGTCTCTTCAACCAGGGGTCGGCAAACTATTTTTGTACGCATGTTCTTGTACAGCTTGAGCTCTAAGGATCGCTTTCATATCTTAAAATGGCTGGAGAAAAAAAATTCAAAACGTCGAGAGAAGAAGTGTCACGACACGTGTCAGCTTAACGTGAAGTTCAGCGTTAGGTGTCCATGACGTTCCGTGGGCACACGGCCATGTCCGTTTGTGGACGGATGTTATGGATTTGGGCTTGGTCCCCAGCTGCTTTCATGCTGCCACAGCAGAGCTGAGTGGGTCACAGTGACCGTCCAGCCCCCTTGACAGCCAAGGTTCGCGGACCTTCCCCCGGGCCCGCAGCATGAGGCCGAGCCCCAGTGGGGTCGTCATAGGAAGGAAATGAGCCGATCCAGGGCGAATGCTTGGCTTGCAGTTTAGGAAGGGTTGGCTGTTATCAGTGATGACAGCCTCCACATCCCCATCCTTCCCCGGAGAGCGAGCGTGCGGAAATTCTGATGGTCCTGATGCGGCTCAAGTGCGCAGTGCCCTGATCGAACCTTCCTTCCAAGGGTGGACGCTCCCGAGTGGCAAAGAAGGACCCCCCACACCCGCCCCCTTTCCTCCCCTTGTCTTCCAGGAGCTGCACCTCTGTGTCTCCCGCAGACACTTTGCTCTGGAGCGGGGCTGCAGGCTGCGCGGGCTGCCGCCAGGGAATTACAGTGTGCGAGTCCGGGCCACCTCCCTGGCAGGCAACGGCTCATGGACAGAAGCTACCTATTTCTACGTGACAGACTATTGTAAGTCTGCGCTTGGGGCTGGGCGTGGCAGGGCATTGCAGAGGATGGCCGGGGAAGCTCGGAGGCTGTGCCCGCGGGCCCTGGACTTGACCTCTGAGTCTGCTGACTGCTGCTGTGTGACCTGGGCAGTGTGCTTGCCCTCTCTGAGCCTGTACGTTCTCATCTGACCATGGGGATAATAATAGGAATCCCGCCCCCCCCGCCCCCAGCCTTGGAGGTGAAAGGAGGTTTTAGTGACATTATGAAGGTCAAGTGGCTGGCCCAGGGCACGTCTGATGAACACATTAGCTCCTGTTACTCGTGTCCTGATACTTGACTTTTGATGGGTTGTGCCCTCCAGGGGAGGACACAGGAGCTTGCCTGCTGAGTCTCAGATGTGCTCTTGATATGCAGGCAGTGAATGCTGCCGTTGGGTGAGCAGGACACGCTGTGGACAGGAGGGTGGGCGGCTGGGGAAGGCTGAACTGGTCAGGGAAAGCTTCCTGGAGGAGGTGCCTCTTGACTGAGACCCAGAAGAATATACAAGTGGGGACAACAGAAGACGGTCATCCTGGCATGTGTCAGGAGCCTAGACACTTGAATGAGTGAACAAATGACTTGGAAGGAGGGGAAATTCTAGACCAGGAAGAGGGGGAGCTTGGGTGGGAGGGGGTGAGACAGGGCTCCTCCTTGGCCGACTGGATTTTCACATACCAGGCCTGGTGGGCCTTCGGAAAGTGGGAAGTGATTCTTGCTGGGAAGGCTCTGGCCAGCGTCAGGGCTGGGACGAGCATCTGGACACCAGCTGGGTGTGCGGCGCCGCGCTTCTGATCCTGCCTAGTGGAGGGAGCACAGACCCTGCCAGGTTAGGAGCACGGTTCCCAGCAAGACGGCCCTCACTTCAGATGCCAGATGCAAGTTGGGGGTTCTCCAAGCCCCCCACACTTCTGACCAACTGGCAACAAACTCAGGGGTTCCCACGACCCCCTTCAGATACAGTCATTTGCTCGATCAGCTCATAGAGCTCAGGAAAATGCTATATTACAATGACGGTATTATTATAAAGGCTATCAGTAGGGACCACCCAAGTGAAGAGACACCCAGGGGAGGGTCGGGAGGGTCCAGGACACTGAGCTCCTGTGTCTTCTCCATGTGGAATCAGGATGTGTGGTGCCGCCCTCCCCGCATGCCCATGTGTTCACTAGCCAGCAAGCTCCTCCTGAGCTTTGGTGTCCAGGGTGTCACTCGCTAGGCATTGCTGATCGCATCGTTGGCTGTGTGATGGAACTCCATCTGCAGCCCCTCTGCTCTCTGGAGGTCAGGCCGGCGCAGGCCCCAACCTTCCAATCACGTGCGCGGTCTGCTGGTGACCAGCCCCCATCCTGGGTCATCTCATCCCAAAGCATAAGCTCAGGTTGTGTTCCAAGGGGGATGTCAATAACAAAGACACTCTTAGTACCCAGGATATTTCAAGGATTTGGAATCTCTCTCTCAAAAACCAGGGATGCCGTGAATTTAATTCCAAGGAAAAATATCAGAGTGGGAAAAACATCGGTGATATCATTAACAAAGAGTTAATATCCTTGATATGAAATGAAGATATATGTGTAGGACATGAGTAGAAGATATATGTAAATCCTAACACAAGAATAGGCAAAGAACATAAATAACCGATTTAAAATGAAATATAAAGATAAAAAACATAAGAAAAAAAGTCCAACCTCAAAGCCACATCAAAAAAAAAAAGCAAATTAAAATGAGATGTGATTTTTAACTTATTGAATTGGCAAGGCTTTTGTTTCTGTTTAATTATAGTACTTAGTGTTGTTCAAATTATGGACACATGAACTTTTTTTTCATGATTGGTGAGTGCTAAAATATAGTACTTTATTTTTGAAAAGATTTTTTTTTTTATTTGAGAGAGCAAGCAAGAGAGAGAGCATGAGCTTGAGGGGAGGGGCAGAGGGAGAGGGAGAAGCAGACTCCCTGCTGAGCAGGGAGACCGGTGCTGGGCTCCATCCCAGGACCCTGAGATCATGACCCAAGCCAAAGGCAGATGCTTGACCTGAGATCATGACCTAAGCCAAAGGCAGGTGCTTGATCGACTGAGCCACCTAGGTGCCCCTGAAATATACTACTTTTATAATATGTCTCAAACATCTTATAAAGGATCTTACTATGTGAACCGACAGTTCTGGTTCTAGAAATTTATCCTGAGGAAATGATCAGAGATGTCCAAAAAAGATACATGTTCAGGGAAATGCAGTCCAGCATTATCAAAGATAGCAAAAAGTCTGGAGAATTAAAACAATTCTTTATTTTACAGTGGGGAGGCAGGCAGGGCACCCAAGGTGCAAATTTTAAGGAGGCACTCACTCCCAGGGGCTGACCCTGCATCTCCATGACTCAGAGCAAGAGTCCTCAAATTTTGCACCCTGGTGCTTCCCTTTCTTCACCCTGGTTCCATGGCCACGGGAATCGGAGGCGTGAGCAGTACTGTGGGGTCTGGGAAGCTGAGACGGGGTGTGGGGGGTGCAGCCTGGCTCTCAGATTGTGTCCCCAGACCCACTAAGTCCCGGCAACTTGGTGACCTCCAGCTTCCCTGCTCCTGAGGAAGAAGGGACAAGGGGGAGAGACATGCAGACAACCCCATGTGGCCATAGGTTCCCTTTTCTCATGTCCCATTCAATCACCAAATATTTACAGAGTCTTTCTGTGGCCAGGAGCTGCCGGGGAGGGGAAGGAGGCAGTTTCTTGTTATTCAGGGAGGTTCAGGAGGGTGTCTCAGGGTCTTGCTGGCCACGGAGGGCAGCGTGGGGCCGTGGCTAAGCACTTCTTCAGATGGCCCGGCTTGAAATCCCTGTTCCACCGGGGGTCACTTGTGGGATTTGGGGAAAGACCCCTCCCGTCTCTGAGCCTCTTTTCCCAATCTGTTAACTGGACTTAGTCACGGTCCCTTCCACCTTGGCTTATGTGACGATTAAGTAAAACCAACCAGCACAGAGCACTTCAAATAGCCTTTGGTGTTTTCCTAAGTGTTTGGTAAACCACTGTTGATAGGAAAGACCTTGGGGACCAGGGAGCAGGTTCCCCCTGGGATTCCATAGAACCCATTTTCCTCCCTGGCTTCAGAGAGCCTGAATACACGGGCATGTTTATAAATGCAGACAACTTGGCCTTACATGCAAATTTTTAAAAAATGACGGCTCCATAGCATTTCTTCGGTGAATTTAAAAGGATTCTTTTGAGGGGAGGACCGCCTAGCACACAGGGCCCTTCCTAGTGAGTTTTTCATCTGTGAGAGGTGCTGTTGGGATTAAAATTAATTTGCAGGGCCCCCTGCAAAATGAAAATGCAGGTCCCCTTGTTTAAAAATTATTAAGACTCTTTTTTAAGATTTTATTTATTTGAAAGAGCAAGAGAGCACGAGTGGAGGGGGAGGGACGGAGGGGGAGGGAGAAGCAGGCTTCCTGCTGAGCAGGGAGCCCGATGTGGGGCTCGATCCCAGGACCCAGGGATCGTGACCTGAGCCGAAGGCAGACGTTTAGCCGACTGAGCCACACAGGCGCCCCTAAAAATTATTAAGACTTTCAAGATGGTGACAGTGGAGTGTTAGGGATCAGGGCCCTTCCAAGTGTGGGGACTTGGGCGACGGCCTGGGTTGCGTGCCTGTGAGGCTGGCCCCGGGGGGGCAGGTGGGAGGAGGCTGACGGTAGGCAGTGGTCTGGGGGTCAGGGCCTCTGAGCCTGGCGCCCAGCCCCGTGGAGCAAGCTAGTGTTTTGGGACTGCTGGAAAAGAGGGGCGGGGGAGACCAGGGGAGAGGCTCGGGAACAAGAGAAGGGGCAGGTGCATGTACCCCACCATTACAGGCATAGGTGTGATTTGTGATATGAACACATTTTGATGTGAACCATTTATTTTCTTATTCTATTTCAGTAGATGTCCCGTCGAATATTGCAAAAATCATCATCGGCCCCCTCATCTTTGTCTTTCTCTTCAGTGTTGTGATTGGAAGTATTTACCTGTTCCTGAGAAAGAGGTGGGTATGGTGGTGTGCTGGTAGATGGTTAAAGACTGGCTCTCCAGGAAAGAAAGTATGCCTAGATCTGGCGAGAGCTATGGCTAAGTTTATTATAAATTTGACTGACATAAGGAATGGGAATAGCACGCAACTAACAGGTAATGATCATAATACCATTTGTAACACTCTCTCCTAAATTCCCCCTAGCTGGTTGATTCTCACCAAATGTTTTGGTTGATTTTTCTTTTCCCCCCTGAACCTTTGTATCTACAGCAAACCTGGGGTGGCAAGTGATGAATGAGCATGGCTCGACCTGAGTGTTGATTGATACTTTGTTTTCATTAAAGAGCAAGGTAAAAATGAACTAAGATGTGTAGGTTCATCAACGAAGAAGTGACTTCGCTCAGTCACGTAGTAACTCTTAGATGCTGCAGGAACATTTTGTCAAAAAAAATTTTTTTTTGCCATTTGCAAATCATGGCCACAGAGATGACATCCTTTTTTGTTTGTTTGTTTAAGATTGATTTATTTTAGAGAGAGAGAGAGAGAGAGAGCGAGAGCGCAGGGGGTGGGGCAGAGGAAGAGAGAATCCCAAGCCGACTCCATGCTGAGCACAGAGCCCGATGTGGGGCTTGATCCCAGGACCCTGAGATCATGACCTGAGCCGAAATCAAGAGTTGGCCGCTTCACTGACTGAGCCCCCTAGGCGCCCCGAAATGACACACTTTTAAGCTTATTCTGCATTGTTAACATTTTTTGCCATCACTTTCTCAAGCCTGGACAGAAAACAGAACAATAGATCAAGTCGTGGTTTGTACCGTTCCTGTTTCTTTCTATGATGTAAATATTCCTACTGTGGCCAATTTCTAGCTACAGACATACCACTGATGATAGTAAGAAGCAATATGATAATTAGGAAGTGGTGAGTTTTGCTTTCAATGTCATTTTATTTAATTGTAAGCCTATGTCATTTAATTTTGGACGATGGCTGTATTAATAACCTGCTCTCAGATTTCCTGAAAACTTAGCAGTTGTCTCTCATGAGCTGGGATGAGAACAGCCAAGGGCGAGTGGCTTGTAGGTGTTACACGGACAGCCACAAATTACAGTGTATGGTCCCATGTTGATGTGCGTAAGTAGCTGTCTGATGGGCTTCTACTTCTAACACCCCAGACTATCCAGGATCATGTGGATGCTGCTGCTAAGGGTTGTCATTGGCACTGGGGAGCTTGTAACCCCCCGTGTGAGTGACCCAGAGCCCCGTGAGAATATCAAGCTGGAATGTCTGCCTTTTTCTCTTCCAGGCAGCCGGATGGGCCACTGGGACCGCTGTATGCGTCTTCAAACCCCGAGTACCTCAGTGCCAGTGATGGTGAGTACCATCCCTCTACCCTGGGGTGGCCAGAATCCTGCCTTTTGGGGCCCCTGGCTGTCACTTCAAGTGCAAGTCAGGGGTTGGCACCTGGGGCCTGGGGAGGCTGAGATGAGCCCTCTGGTTCACGTGAGCTCGCAGACCTGCCCCTTGCTGCAGAGACCGAATTACTAAGAGCAGCCAGACACCCGCCGTCTGGCGCCTGTTTGGATGGGCTGATCTAGCTGGTCTGGGACCCGTGGGCTGGGCTGGGAGGCTGGCAGAGAATCTGGTGTCCCAGCTGTTGGGGGCTGGTGGTGGAACCTGGGACCTGTGCCAGAGACTGCACCGAGGGTCAGAGCCAGAGGGCCGTGTACGGACTTGCCGTCCAGGTTGGGGGTCAGGAGCCAAAATGAGACACTGGGGATAAGGGGCGGGGAAGACAAGAGTGAAGGGTAAGGTGGGGTACGCAGGAGGCTGTGTGGACTGACGCCTGTATTTCCCTCGATTGTACATTGAGCAGCCCCTACAGATGAGGCTCTCCTTCCGAGGAGAAAGCGTCTGCCACGTTACAAGTTTCCAAAGCCCTTCACACAGCAGAAACCAAAAAGTGACTTTCGAGGCGTGAACGCTGTTGCCTGGCAGGATGCTGCCATGGGATATGGGGGTGGTGTTTTCAGGGACACCCAGGATTTGTTTTGATCAGGTCCGATAGGGGAGTGTGGGAGACGGTGGACGAGAACCTTTATTGTGGTGTCCTTGGGAAGGCACGGCACGGCACGGCACGGCACGGCGGGATAAGACCAAGGACTCGCTATTTTGAATGATTTCACTGGGTTCTGGGGTGTAGGGGCTGGCTCTGGGGTGATCGGGCCCCCTGGGCGGGGGTTAAGGCTTGGGCTCTGGATCGGTGGTTTTGCAGATAGAAGGTGCTCTCACAGGCAAGTCATTTACTGTCTCTAGGGATTGGCTGCCCCTGGGAGGAGCCGTCCCTCCAAGGTCATTGAGGCCCCAGATGCTAAAGCATCAGAATAGGGAAACTAGGAGAGGTGGGCATTCCAGGTGGGAATGTGTGCAGGGAACAGGAGCAGGAGGGAGTGAACATGGATGGGGGTGCCTCCTCCCCCAGCTTGGGGATGGCATTGTTAGCCCACTTCGGAGGTGGGGAAGCTGAACCTCAGGGCTGCCACTGGACCCCACGGTAAGGGGTGAGGCCAGGATGGCTGTGCAGGGCTGCCTCTGCACCCTACCGCCCTGCTTCCTTCTGGGAATGCAGGAACGGCCGAGGGCACAAGGGTGCCCGGTGAAAGCTGGAAATTGGACCTCAAGGGTCTCTAAGGCTGGGAGGGCCTGGGCCAAGGGGAACGCACAGGGAAAGATCCAGGCTTGGAGCCCCGGGGGATAGGGTACCCCCATTGAGCATCTGTGTGTGCTCATTTGCCTGAGGCCCTAGTGACCGAATCGGTTTGCTGGGGCTCCTGTAACAAACACTATGGACCAGATGGCTTAGGAAACAGAATTTTATTTCTTCACGGTTCTGGAAGCTGGGAGTCTGAGATCAAGGTGTCAGCAGGGTTGGTTTCTCCTGAGGCCTCCCTCTTTGGGCTGTGTCCGACTGTGTTCTCCCAGGTCCTCACATGGTCGGCTTGTGTGCGTGTCTGTGTCTGAATGTCCTCTTCTTAGAAGGACACCAGTCATATGGGATTAGAGCCCCCCCACTGACTTCACTTGATTGTCTCTGGAATGGTCCTGTCTTTAAATACAAGTTACATTCTGAGGTACCAGGATTAAGACTTCAACATAAATTCTGGGGGGGGCACAATTGAGCCCCCCTTCGGAGGAAAGCAGGAACCATTTTGGCTTTTCTTATGAGGCCTTTGTGCATTCGTCTGCAAATTTGTTTGCTGTGTAACAAACCTCCCCAAAGTTAGTGGCTTGAAACAACCAGCATTTCAATTCGGTGGGTCCGCCACCTGGGATCTGCTCAGCCGGGCAGATCTTTTGATCTCGCCGGGGCTCATTCACATGGCTACAGGCTGCCTGCCGATCAACTGGTGCTGGGTGGTCTCGGATGGGCTCACTGGTACGGCCAGCAGTTGGCAGGCTGGCTGGTCTTCCATCCCCTTGGCACTTCGCAGAAACAACAGCCTCAGATGGGAAGTAGCGTTGTGGGGTGGCGGGGCTCTGAAATCAGACCGAAAGGACAAGGAGGCAGGCTCAGCTCGGCACATACCGGCCAGAACCCTGGACTGGTGGTGGCTCCTTCCCAAGCCTCTGCTCTCCCCTCCATGAAGGACAGGGACCCACACCTGTCCTGTTCTTGGCTCTGTGCCCGGTGCCTGGCACAAGTCCTGGACCACAGAAGTCCCTTAATGAACATTCGCCAGTGGGGGGGCCCCGGTGGGAGGTGGCTGGGGGTCCCCCCCGGGGGTCCACCAAGGACGCTGTGTAGATAAATGAGGAGTAGTCTTTCCATGTTCTGTGTATGTGCCGGATGAGTGGGAGGTGCCTCGGGAGAAGATCACGCTCCTGCGTGAGCTGGGGCAGGGCTCCTTCGGCATGGTGTACGAAGGCAACGCCAGGGACATCGTCAAGGGCGAGGCGGAGACCCGCGTGGCGGTGAAGACAGTCAACGAGTCGGCCAGTCTGCGGGAGAGGATCGAGTTTCTCAACGAGGCCTCAGTCATGAAGGGCTTCACCTGTCATCACGTGGTGAGTCCTGCATTTGCCCCGAAGCGGACAGAGGTGTCCTTTCGTGCCTGCTCCCCTGTTCCTCCCTCCTCTGTCCTTTCTCCTCCTCCCGCACGAAGCAGGAGGACTCTAGGTGTGGACCCCCGGTCTGTCCCCCACTCTGCTAAGCACCCTAAAGGTGTGGGGGAGGCTCCATCCCTTCTCCCTTCTCGAATCCTGTCCTGCCCCCCCTTGCACGGAGCCGGACTCCTTCCCTTGCTTTCCAGAATCTTCTGTCTCTTCCCTCTTCCTGGCCCCTTTGTAACCCTGAAACACGTGATGGTTGGTTCGCCCCATCCCTGCCCCCGCCCCGAGTCAGCCCAGACTCTTCCCAGGCTGCTGCTTCCATGTGGCCCCACAGCTTCTCCTTGAGCCTTGTGTCGTTTCTTCCCTGCCACGCGTGGCTGAGGGGATCTGCTCTGTGCTGAGCCCCAGTCTCATCTCTTCGATGCAGCAGATGCCTGCCCTCTTACGGAGCTTCCAGGACAGCCGTGAGACAGACCCTAAACCCAATAAGTTCCTCATGGAGGATGTTAGGAGCCGATGCTGTGGCAGGATGGAACAAGAGAGCAGAGTCAGGGGGCTGGGCATTTGGGAGTGGGGAAGGTGTCGTAAGGATGGAGGGACTGAGCTTTGTGGACGTGGCAGGGAACAGAGGGTCTGGCAGAGGGAACAGCAAGTGCAAAGCCCTGGAGGTGGGAATGTGCCTTATGTGCTCAGGGCCCCCTAGGAGATCTCCAAGTGTCTGCCTTGGAGTGTTGCTGTGTGGGGGCATGAAACTCTGCTCCCCCACCCCGCCAGACTGTGACTCCTGAATTCTCCTTCCCTCCCCCGACCCCCCTGTCCCCCCAAGGCATTGACCCTGGCATTTGAGATAGACAGACCAGGGCTCCCCATACAGGGTGCTGTGTGTGACGCAGACATCAGACAGGGAGACCTTGGTGATGGAAACCCTCTCCCCGACCCTCACCCAAGATCGCTCCGTGCTTGCTCTGCAGGTCCGCCTCCTGGGGGTGGTGTCCAAAGGCCAGCCAACGCTGGTGGTGATGGAGCTGATGGCTCACGGTGACCTGAAGAGCTACCTCCGCTCCCTGCGGCCGGAGGCTGAGGTGAGCTGACTCTGGGGACCTGGCGGGCACCCGCTCCCAGCTGGGGGCACCCGGGTCCCTCAACGCAACCCCGTTTCGACTTTAGAATAACCCCGGCCGCCCTCCCCCTACCCTGCAAGAGATGATTCAGATGGCGGCAGAGATCGCCGACGGGATGGCCTACCTGAATGCCAAGAAGTTTGTGCACCGGGATCTCGCAGCCCGAAACTGCATGGTCGCCCACGATTTCACTGTCAAAATTGGAGGTGCGTCTGGCCTTCTGCTTGGAAATGTGTGGGCTGGCCCAGTTTGATTGCAGAAGGAGTTGTCTGCCCTGAGTGGTTGAGTCTTTGCCAATAGTGCAAAGAGGGCCCAGTCCTCAGACTGTAATTTAATTGCATTTGCTCGTGAGCTTGCTTATTTCCTGCTCTGGATGATAGCGGTGTTCCCTGTTGGCGGAAGCCATCGCACGAGGAGCTGATAGATGTGACTGATGATGGATAAGTCACCATGATTTTCCTGCCCTCATGCAGCATGCGGTCTTCATCTGCATCACCCACCGTAGTAGCGGCCATTTACATTCAAGTTAACTTAAATTAACGAGAATTAAAAATGTATTCCCTTGGCTGCACTGGCCACATTGCAAGTGAGCAGTTGCCCCCTTGAGCCTGGTGGCTGCCATATTGGGTAGTGTGGCGTAGACTGTGTTCATGATCACGGCAAGTTCTACTGGCCAGGGCTATTGAAAGGCGGACAGTAAAATAGTGCTTGTATGAACAAGGGAAGGAAGACTGGGGAAAGAGCCCTGAAGGAAAGAGTTCCGTGGTAGAGAGGAGAGAGGCCTTTCTCTGCAGGGAGACAGGCTTTTGGCCAAAATTTGCAGGATGAGTTGACCTGAATGAATGACAGCATCCCAGGGGGCGTTCCAGCATATGCAAAGGCCTGAGGCTGGAAGCGTGGCTGATGTGGGGTGAATAGAAGGAACAGGGAGGGGAGCAGAGCAGCATGAGATGTGAGGTTAGAGAGAGAGAGGCGGAAGCCAGACCTGGAAGGATCTTACTAGTCAATAAGTCATCTAGCTGTTATCCTAAGGAGCCAGCGTGAAGCTAGAAGTAACGTGATTCTATTTATGATCCCAAATGACATTATCCGCAAGGGAAGCCAGAAGTGATGTCATCCCATTTATAATCCAACAAAGACCCTATCCTCCATTAGCCATGGGAAGCAAGATATAATGTAATCCTATTTATATAGCTTCTCTTGGGCAATGGGCTGTCAGAGTCAGGATGGAGGGAAGGTTCTGCAGGTGAGAGATGGCGGTGGGGCTGGAGTGAAGGAGAGGAAGAGTTGGGTTAGAGCAGGATGTGGAAAGAGAGCGGGCAGGATTCGCCGCTGTCTTAGATTTGGGTATGAGGAAAGGGGTGTGGTCAAAAGGGGACCCGCCCCTGGGTTTTGAGCTGGACATCTGGGTAGCGGTGAGGCCATACCTACTGGAGAAGAGTAGGTTGGCTGCAGAGACTCAACTCTTTGGTTTGGGACACCTGCAAGGTCATCGGTGGGAAGGAAGTGTTGCTGAGAATGGGGTTCCCAGGTTGTGGGCTGGCACGTCACTTCTTTGCCACTTGGTGCTGCCTTTTTCTTCCGTTTACATGGTAGCCCATCCTTTCCCTCCACATCCCTGTGAGTACCCTCAGAATCCATCCTCATGGGATTTGGCCACCACCAAGGTGAGCACACACCTGGGGCAGTTGAGGCCATCTGAGGGCTCTACAAGGCAAGATGGGGCAAGATGGAGACAGCTGGACTGTAGGCTGAAGGTTAAGACCATGTGAACCCTTTGTTGTCAGACTTTGGGATGACCAGAGACATCTATGAAACGGATTACTACCGGAAAGGAGGCAAGGGTCTGCTCCCCGTGCGGTGGATGGCACCGGAATCCCTGAAGGACGGGGTCTTTACCACTTCTTCTGACATGTGGTGAGTGGTGCGTGGATTGGCGGACAGAGTGCTGGGCTCGAATCCCAGGGCGTTCCATTAGTGTGACCAGCAAGAGGGGGCCAGTTAAAACCTGCCATCCTCACAGCCCCTTGATCAAGAAAATGAAGGGGAGGACCCTTGCATGGCTACTTACATTCCGATTGAGACTCATCTAGGCATTTCTGAACGCAGCATGAATTGTTTAATGAACTGGCCAACCACGTTCTAGTAAACCAAGGAGGGGTGCGTGTATGTGCGCATGTGTGTATTTTTATGGCTTCTTTGTTACTACTTTCAACTGTCATTGGCAGGTCCTTCGGCGTGGTCCTTTGGGAAATCACCAGCTTGGCAGAACAGCCTTACCAAGGTCTGTCTAATGAACAGGTGTTGAAATTTGTCATGGATGGAGGGTATCTGGATCAACCCGACAATTGTCCAGAGAGAGTGTAAGTGTAGAAAGCCCAGGTGGTGTGTGGGCTCTTCATCAAAAAGGCACTGCCCTTTGGTTTGCGTGTCGTATGTCTACATATGTGTGCTTGTGTTTGCATGTTGTGTCTTCGCATGGACACTTTTTTTGCACATCATATCTACGTATATGCTTGTGTTTGCACGCCGGGTCTTTACACATATGCTTTCTTGCGTATCATGTCTGTGGAAGGTTGTAGAAAAACCCTACAGCAGTGCTCACCACGGGAGAAGGAAACTGGGTAGCTGGGGTGGGATATGTGTGTTTAACTGTCGGTTCTTTATATACTTAACATTTTGTCAGGGAATGAATACAATCTGACATGTCCGTTATATCTCAACAGAATTGGGAAAAAAAGAAATCAGAAGCAGAAACATTAAAATTACTTTTTGGTCAGGGATATGCGTTACCTATCTCCCCGCTCCCCCAATTTTTGTTGTAAATTTTGGTCATAGAAAAAAAATAGGGGCGCGCCTGGGTGGCTCAGTCAGTTAAGCGTCTGCCTTCGACTCAGGTCGTGATCCTGGGGTCCTGGGATCGAGTGCCGCCATTGGGCTCCCTGCTCAGCACGGAACCTGCCTCTCTCCCCCATGCCCCTCCCCCAGCTCATGCTCTCTCTCTTGTTTGCTCGTGCTCTCTCTCTCAAATTAATAAATAAAATCTTTAAAAAAAACTATTAAAAAATAAAAAATAAAATGACATAGCAATTGAAATTTTAAATGATGCTTATAAAATATTTTATAACTTGGTGGATAAACCTATGTTAAAATATTAAATATAAAAAGTGTGTATATATTACATTACCAAATATCTTTAGATAGAAAAGATAAGAGGTTGGATCTGAAGGAGAGTTGTGTGCGAACTGCATTTTCTCTGTGTTCTGGGGTGTTTCCTTTCTGCCATGAGATTGTTTACATATAAAGTCCTTTATTAGTGTTTCTTAAGAAAAAAGTTTGCCCTCCTGAAAAATCCAGGGGGAAAGGCCAATTTGAGGCTTCATCCCCCAAAGAATAAGACTGTTTGTTTAGAAAACCCAATTGGAAGGGACCGCATATGAAAAAGAGTACGAAGCAGAGTTACTTAGAAACTCTGAGCAAAGTATTTCTGAATGTTGCTTCATGAGAGCCCTTTCCTGGCCATTAGCCGCTTGCTGTACAGTTCCAGGACCAGGGAAATTAGGTAGGCCCTAGGGCAGAGGGCCACACACTTTCTATAAAGGGCTGTATTATAAATATTTTGAGCTTTGTGGGCCCTCTGGCTCTCTGTTGCGGCTACTCAACTTTGTTGCGTAGACTGAAGGCAGCCATGAACAGTGCATAAGTGAAGGGGTGTGGTTGTATGCCCATAAGACTTTATTTACAAAGACACTTCAGGGGGCTACAGCGGGGAGAGGAAGAAGTAAAATAGAAACCCCAAGCCCTCAGCATCTGTACCGTGTGCTCTTGGCTGAGTCGGGTTGTAACCCCCTGCTACCACCTTGGAGAGCGTGAGCGCTAGGCCTGCAGGATGGCTGCTCAGAGCTGGTCCTCTAGGTTCAGTCCACTCAGCTGCCCCATCAGGCCTCAAGCATCTCAACCCTGAAGGATCTTTGACCCTAGAAAGATTGCTCCTTGGCACAGGGAAGCCTTTCAGGCAGCCCCAGTAGGAATTAAACTTTATGAAATGCACCAAATGGGAGGAAAAAAAAATCAGGAATGTATAAAATGATCAACCTTGTCCAGCATGTAGGTGCATCAAGAGGGGCCCTTCTTGATCTGGGCTGGGAATGAGGCAGCCCCTTTGGCTCTCTTTCCAAAACCATTTTTTTTTTTTTTTTAAGCACCGGTAGAAATCCCATTTCTGTCTTGACCGTTGCCCATGCTGGTGGCCGCTGTCTGAAATTGGCACTTGTCATCGTGGGTGTGGGCCGCAGGGGAGGGGGCTGGTTGGGAACTGCTCGGCTGGTTGCCCCCGGACCCATTCCTGACGTGTCCCTCTGTCCTGCAGCACCGACCTGATGCGTATGTGCTGGCAGTTCAATCCCAAGATGCGGCCCACCTTCCTAGAGATCGTCGAACTGCTCAAGGATGACCTGCACCCCAGCTTTCCAGAAGTTTCCTTCTTCCACAGCGAGGAGAACAAGGCGCCTGAGAGCGAGGAGCTGGAGATGGAGTTCGAGGACATGGAGAGTGTCCCCCTGGATCGGGCCTCACACTCTCAGAGGGAGGAGGCCGGGGGCCGGGATGGAGGGTCCTCGCTGGGCCTAAAACGGAACTACGAGGAGCACATCCCCTACACCCACATGAACGGGGGCAAGAAAAACGGACGGATTCTGACTCTGCCGAGGTCAAATCCTTCCTAACAGCGCCTGTTCTGGGGAGGGGTTCCCATCTTCACTTTCCTCTGGTTTGAAGGCCTCCAGAAAACTCAGGATTCTGCTATGAATCTGCCACAGTGTCAAACGGAGCTCAGAGATCATTACTATCCATTGATGTTCATCTATGACTTAAAAACACGTGTATCTGATTGCCAATTTGACGAGCTGTCAGAGAATTGAACTGTGACCCTAGAGGAGAAGGGGTTTCCTCAGCTGCTGTCCTTGTAGGCAACTGCGGTTTTAAGCCAGGATGTTACTGTTTTGTTTTTTTTTTTTTTCCAGTAGATTGAGAGCAAGCACCTGTTTTTACAGATCTTCTTTTTTTTTCTTCCTGGTGTCTGAGCTACAGTATAAAGCATAAAACTTGTTTGTGGAACAAAAGTTTGAAAGAAAGAAAAAAACAAAACAAAAACAAAAACACAACCCTGTTCCAGTAGAATTTCAGGCTTTCCGGAGTGGGCTTCAGGAAGGTTTTTTTTCTCATCCAGGCTGAAGGATTTTTTTTTTTCTTCACAAAATCAGTTCCTCAAATTGACCAATAGCTGCTGCTTTTATACTTTTGATAAGGATCTGCAGTCTCAGCGTGTGGCTCACGTGTGTCCGCGTGTGTGTGTGTGTGTGTGTGTGTGTGTGTGTGTGTATGTCCAGGGTAGACAGGGCTGGTCAGTTTGTGTGTGTGCGTGCGCGCGCAAAGCGTTCGTGCCGAGTTGACGCTTTGGGGGTCGGCTCATGAAGGTTCTGCTCTTCCTGAGCTCCTGATCCTTCCATCTCCTTCCTTCTTATTTACTGGGAGACTGTGCCCTCCACGGATTCTTCTGCCCCAAGCCTAGTCTCAGGAGTCTTTTCTCCCTTAACTTTGGTGAAAAATGTTTTCCAGGAGCCAAGGGAGTAGTTTGGAGTGATAGTGGATCTTTTCAAGACCAAACAAAGCTAGGACAGAAAAAAGATAAAAAGAAGAAGAAGAAGAAAAAAAAAGAACTGAGATGATTAAGAGTTTTGAGAATATATTTGTGACATATTTAATTTTTTTAAAACTCTCCAACGTCAGCCTCATAAGTTATTAATTGTTTCCCGGGGTTGGGGGAGGGCTTGTGGGTTGGTCTGCCTGTGTGCAGAGGGGGAGTGAGGCACCAGTCGCTGATTTGTTTGGTCTTAAAGGCATCCACTTTTCTGGGAATAAAGCCACATTAGCTGCTGACCCTTTTGGACATGATGAGGCCACGCTGAGGGTGTGGGCAATTGGGTTTGGTGGATGGTTTGGTTTCTGCTTGGGGAAGCTGATAGCCACCTGGAGCTGAGTCCCACCTTCAGACACACTTGTGGCTCTTGGATCTGTTGGTTACTTGTGTGTACCTCGCACACTTCCTCAATTGGGTGTGCACATACCACAACAGAATCAGACCCCAAAGGGCGACAGCCCAGATGGACTTTGAGAACACTAAGCAATATGAAGCGAGATGCACCTGTCGGTCCCTTCCACCCTCAGGGCATCCAACTGTCCTCAGAGTTGACCTCCCAGAAGCTGCTCTGTGCCCAGTGACCTCAGCTGGGCCAGGTGTGGGGCCTGAGCAGAACTCTCAGGTGCTTATGATGTTGCAGTCCCCAAGAAAGTAGAGTCTGGAGGAGAAACCGCTAAGGACCTTCACGCCACCAAGAACTTCTGAATGGGCGTGAATCCAGTTTCTTCCCTTTGGGGAAAAAAATCACAGCTGCTCAAATAAAGAACATGGTGAACTCATTACTTCAGTTCATCAAAATCATCACCCACAGGTTATCCCTGAGAGCATTTTCTCATGAGTTTTTGATTGCTTCCTTCTCCTCTTAAAAGTTGTGGGCTTAAGAACAGGATAGAGATAATGGCGACCTCTGAACCTTCTCAATTCTTGGTTAAGAACACAGGTAGACACAAATCCCAATTGCCTATTACTATCTTATTTATATGATTTGAGAAATTACAGCACATGAAATATTTCTGGGGAGCCTCAATGATTGGGTACAAGGAACAAGCGTACAGAAATTATTTTCACCAAATTTATTTTGTACATATAAGAGGGTCTGTACGTAAATTAAGAACACATAGATCTAGGTATTTTGTTCTTTTCATAGTAAATTTGTAGTGGCCATATACGACACTAGCAACAATTTTCACATTTTTCTAATTCAGAAAGGTTTTCTTATATTAGGGGAAAATTATTTATTTTAATATATAAAAATCACTGTAAAAATCACTTTCATAAAAAATGGAGTGCATGTAAATTTTTATCAAAGAAAAATAAACAGGTGAATGTGGGGTAATGATTTTTTTTTTTCCAGCACAGTCTACCTCAGTGTATCATTAGGATGTGGTTCAATAATGGACATCTTTGAGACTTCAGAATTCTGCCTGGATCCAATCTGAATCAGGGAAAATCTGTATCAGCTGATTCCAAATGCCAGGGACCAGTAAGAATTTTGAGGGAGGGAGTTGGGATAAAGTGTGGCTTTCGTGTGAGCATGGATCCTTTTTCTGGCTGATAATCTTCTCTGAATTCAATCCCCCTCCACTTTGTTTTGATCCTCCATCCATTGCCACCATGCTCCCAGACATGAACTAAATTTCAGGCCGTCGTGATGTATCTGATGTGTGGAGTGCCCAGGCCTGAGCTACCTTCTTTTGGTGGGGAGAGGCTACTCCCTCTCCTGCTGGGGGCAAAGAGAGGCTTTAGTGCAAAGCCAGCATCCCCGCTGTCCCACTGCAGCCCCCTGAAGTGAGCATCGAGGTGCCTTGGCTCTCCATGGCCTGTTCCCTACTCCTTTTAAGCCCAGATGCTTTTTGGGAGTGAAACGAATTGCACTTGTGGGCACCTCACATGCAAACACCCGATGTAGCATTTCTATTCTCCAAGTGGAAAGGGGGACTGTTGAAAAATTCCAATCCAAAACACACCAGCATGCTGAGTGTATTTTTTAGCAACAAAACCTTGGACCCCTGTGTCTGGTTGACCTCAGACCGATAACTGTTTGAACTTGTGGGGCTTTGAGAACCCATTTGTAAGTCTGGGAAGGGCCAGCAGGGCTGTTGTCATACTCACCAAACCTCACTGCCCTTATACTTTTAGACACTGCCCCTGCGGGCTCATCTTTCTGTGCTTACCCTGGAGAGGTACAGTGGAGTGCTGGGCCCACCTGCACAAATGGGGTTTCACCTATTGACTTCAGTTGTCTCTGCTACTGTGGTAAGAAGAGCAAGCAGCTGTTGGGTCACAAGCCTTTTTCATCACATAAAGTTGACTATAGCAACTTTGGTCCTAGAAAGTCATGGTTGCCCTGGGGAGGGGGTTTATAGTGATGGGCTATACTGGGGGGCTTGTAGTGATGGGCTATAAAAAAAGCAACAAAGCCAGCTTAGGTTGACACTTTTAGTTGTTTGCTTTTAAAGATGTCTCATTATTATTAAAACCCTTTTCATTAATGTGGCCTAATCCACATAGTAGTTTCTTCTTCCGGGAGGGGAATAGCGAGCACATTACTTTCTCCCAGGACCAGTGATGTCAAACACACTTCTGGAAATGTCTGTATTCTGGGAGCTATCCTTGGTGCTTTCCTGTTATTTCAAGCTAGTAGGGAGAGATGCTGCTGGTTCTCTTGGAGAGATGTTGAACACAACAGAGAAAGTGTGGGAATTGCTGCAAGTGTCTGCACATACAATCCTGTGACTGTTGGAGACTGCTGCCAATTGATGGACAAATCTTCCAAAATCTCCCACCAGAGCAGACAATCTGCCATAAAATGTGCTTGTTGGGTTGGGAGGTGTTCATTTGTAGCTGTCAAAACAGTGGGCAGTGAGCAGCATTGCCATCAGAGCATGGCCCATGCTAGTCATCTGGGTAGGTGATGGATGTGTTGTAGTCCCAGGGACAGTCATTTTTCTACTTCATGGCGACTGGAAGTTTGGTGTTCAATGTCTTCTGGATACCACTTGGCGAGTCCTTGACACCTCAGGCTCTTCAGAAATTATGGTTTTGTTGGGGGTAGGGAACAGGGAAATGCTGATTGTATATAAATGGTGCACATAGAATGGTGTCCCTTCAGAAAGCCTTCCAGAATGTTCTTTAGAATATTGATTTCGATGGAAAGAACAAATGCTGATTTGTTCGTGTGTTTGAAAGAATGTGATGGACTTTCAGGGGCTACAACTGAAGGTGAATGTTTCCTTGGGGGGGTCCCCCAGAAGCAGAGGGAAACATTGACTTTTTGAGCTCATGGTCGCCTATACCAGTCAGGGCCAGAACCAACCTCCAGCTAAATTCTTATTTGGATATGGGCCCTAAAAGTCCTTGTTAAAAACCAGATCACGAATCTGAGGCTCTTGGTCCCCTTGGGAAGGAAGGAACAACTTCCAAGATGAGTGTGTTTCTATGCACACATTCAGGAATGACTTGTTTAGTCTTTCTACTTTGTGTGCCTGGGGGCGGTCTCGGCCCTGCCTGTCAGCAGCAGAAACTTCCCATCTGCTTTCAGCAGGCACAGGATCAAATGGGCCTCGGCTTATGTAGAAAACAACTCAGAAACACAAAACCCACCAAAAGCTCAATTATTTTTTCAATGTTTTCCTACAAGAGCCAAGTAGTGCCATGTACAGAATATGCCTTTTTTTTTGAATATTGAAATTGCTCTGCATGTAAAATATGGGATAATTACCTGTTTATATGAAAATTCTGAATAAATTATCTGAGAATAGTCTTGTTTTTGTGTGGTGTTTGAGTAAGGACCTGTGACCTGTGGCGGATTGTGGCTATGGGGTGGGCTGTGTTAAGGGAAATCTGGAAGTTGTGAGGATCTGTTTTAAGAAGGAACAAACCTATGGGTTCTTCAGAAAAACGAAGCAGGAGATTAAATATTGTTTAAATCAGGGCTGATGATCTGCTGGTACATACCTGTACAGTTTAACTGGTGGTTTAAATATTGAACTATTTCCATACCAGTTGGTAAGTAACTGCTACCCCAAAGACCCCAGACCCTCCCATGATGCAAGCACTGAGAGGTTCACTCCAGGAATATGAGGGAATCTCCAGGATCTTACTCCATTCCACCATGCTGAAGACTTACATATTTAATGCTTTTAATGTTATCCTGGCAGCATGGACCTGACCCCAAGGTGGGTGGTCAGTGGGGGACTACAGATTGGAAGAGGATTTTGAACAGCCTTGCATGAGCTATACACAGAATGTAGTGGGTAAGGAGTTAGACTTCCTGCCTTCGGCTCCCTGTGTGACTTTGAATGAGTCACATGACTTCATATGTTAGTTGTTGCTGTGTAACAAACATCCTCAAGACTTTGTGGCTTAAAACAGCAAGCATTTATTTCTCACAGTTCTGTGTGTTGGCTGGGTGGGTCTTCTGGTCACAGTCTCATCTCTCCATCCATCTATCCATCTATCCACTCATCCA